AACAGAAATTTATTGTCTTAAAGTTCTGGAGCCTAGAAGTCTGAAATCAAGATATTGTTAGGGTTAGTTCCTTGTGAAGGCTGTGAAGGAATGATCTGTTCCACTTCTCTTTCCTTGGCTTATAGATGGCCATCTTCTCCTTCACATGGCATTCTCCCTGTATGTGTGCCTGTCTCCAAATTCCCCCAAATTTTTTATAAGGACACCAGTCATATTGGATTTAGGACCACTTTAATGTCCTCATTTTAACTTGTTTACCTCTATAAAACCCTATCTTCAAATAAGATCATATTTTAAGATACTGGTGGATAGGGCTTCAACATGAATTCTGGGCAGGTTGGGTGGGTAGGGATGACATAATTTAACCCACAACAAGCCCCTCTAAGTGAATTTTAATTTCAGTTATTATATTTTTCAATTCTGTAATTTCCATTTTGTTCTTTTTTTGTGATTTCTATGTCTTTATTGATAGTCTCTGTATTTATAATGGCTGCTTTGAAATCCTTTTCTGACATCTGTTAAATCTGACGTCTGGTCACTCTCACAGGCAGTTTCCGTTGCCTTTTTTTTCTTCTGGGGTATGGGCTATATTTTCTTGTTTCTTTGCATGTCTCTTAATTTTTTGCTGAAAACTGGACATTTTAGATAATATATTGTAGCAACTCAGTGTGCTAATCCCCTCCATATCCTGGGGCTCGTTATTGTTATTTATTTGTTTATTTTTTTTAGTGACTAGCTAGATGGTTTTAGTGAAGTCTGTTTTCCCCACTCTGATGTTTCTCCTCAGTAAGTCATAGCTTACCTTTTTCTTGTACATCTAGTATTGCTTTGTTTGAAATCTGAATAGTGTAGTATATATTGTAGCAACTCTGGATACTGTTTTATTTTTTTAGGTTTTTTTTTTTTCCAATCACTTTCCTGGCCTGCAGAATCTGCCTCTCTGTGGTATATAATCATTGCCTTCTGTGCTTAGTTTATTGTTTTATTCTTTTTTTTTTATTGATGTTTTAATAGTTTTTAACATTGTGAAATTTTGGGTTGTACATTTTTGTTTGTCTGTCACCATATATATGACTCCCTTCACCCCTTGTGCCCACCCCCCAGCCCCCTTGCCCCTGGTAACCACAATACAGTTTTCTCTGTCCATGTGTTGGTTTATATTCCACCTATGAGTGAGATCATAGAGTGTTTGTCTTTCTCTTTCTGGCTTATTTCACTTAACATAATATGCTCCAGGCCCATCCATGTCGTTGCAAATGGGACGATTTTGTCTTTTTTTTATGGCTGAGTAGTATTCCATTGTGTATATATATATACCACATTTTCTTAATCCAGTCGTCAGTCGAGGGACACTTAGGTTGCTTCCACTTCTTGGCTATGGTGAATAATGCTGCAGTGAACATAGGGTTGCATAAGCCTCTTTGGATTGTTGATTTCAGGTTCGTTGGATAGATTCCCAGTAGTGGGATGGCTGGGTCATAGGGCATCTCTATTTTTAATTCTTTGAAGAATCTCCATACCGTTTTCCATAGAGGCTGCACCAGTTTGGATTCCCACCAGCTGTGTATGAGGGTTCCTGTTTCTCCACATCCTCTCCAACACTTGTTGTTTTTTGTCTTGGTGATTATAGCCATTCTAACGGGTGTGAGGTGATATCTTAGTGTTGTTTTGATTTGCATTTCCCTGATGATTAGTGATGTTGAACATCTTTTCATGTGCCTATTGGCCATCTGTATATCTTCTTTGGAGAAGTGTCTGTTCATTTCCTCTGCCCATTTTTTGATCAGGTTGTTTGTTTTTTTGTTGTTCAGTTGTGTGAGTTCTTTATATATTATGGAGATCAACCCCTTGTCAGATGTATGTTTTGCAAATATTCTCTCCCAGCTGGTGGGTTGTCTGTTCATCTTGATTCTGGTTTTGTTTGTCTTATAGAAGCTCTTTAATCTGATAAAGTCCCACTTGTTTATTTTTTTTATATTTATTTATTGCTTAGTTTACTGTTTTATTCTTATTTTTATTTTTTAGTTTTGATTCCTAAGGGTCATTTCAGTGTCTGCCTAAGTCAGCCAATGATTTGGGCAGAGGTTTTGTTAATACACTTTAAGCCCATAAGGGTTCTACTGTCTCCTGATCAATCTGGGTTAATTGAGGAATGCGTTCAGAGTTGCAGCCATTTCTCAAGAGTTCCTTGTCTTTTTCTCTTTACCAAACTTTCTGATGTTCCCCGTACATGCCTAATTTTTTTAGTCAGCCAAGGATCTGTGGAGACCTTATAGGAATCCTTCTATGGCTTTTATCATTTTCAAAATCTCCCTGTTAAATTTCTGGTTGGTCCACTGTTTGCTTCAACTCAGAGTGCAAGCTCAGTCTTGCAAAGCTATAGGTTTTCCCTGTTTATCTCCATCAAAGATAGTACAGCTGTAGGTTTTTGCCTCCCACTGAATGGATTCTTCTTCCTTTGGCACAAAGGTACAGGTTTACCAGCTTCAGGCTAGAAAACTGCAGTTCTCGTTGACTGAACGGGGGGCGGAGGTGATGGAGGCAGCCTCAGTCAAGAAAGCCACAGATTCCAGCCATTCTTGCCTGAAGCTCTGGCCATTTTTCACCAGTCAACAATTCGCAATAGACAATTCCCAGTGACCTGAAATGGTTGACTTTTTAAATATACTTTTGTCCAGTTTTATGGATATTTTTTGTGTTGTGCTACCACTGACCTCTTCATGCCACCATTACTTTAGTGTTTTGAATACCAAAAAGGATAGATTTTATAAAGTGAGGCAGCCTCATTATTTGTCAGATCACATCTAAATGCTTTCCACACAATGGTACTTCACTATGACTCCAGCATAATTAGTTGCCACCTTTACTAGCAGTCACTCTTCCTGTGCATTTTGTCATTAATCTTTAATATATTTTGAGACCTGATAATGTAGGTTAATACAAAAGTCATTTTTAGAAACAATCCAATAAAATTAATTAATATAGACATTGATGGAAACAGAAAAATAAATTGCTTAAGTGTATATATATTTTCGCAGCTTTTTGGATGGTTTTGGTGTTTCAGAAGTCCTAACTTAAGATACAGATAATTGAACAGCTAGATAATAACTGGATTTCATAAATATTCTTGTCTTAAAATGTGTTATACAGGATCTACTTTTGTATCTAAGTAAGACATGAAACCTGTAGGATAAATAAGGAATATTTCAATAAATTTGTTTAAATAAAAATTTTTAATTTCCACGTGGAAAAATCCATTGCAAGGAAAGTAAAAAGACAAAGAAAGCTGGGAAAATGTATTTAAAACACTTTTGACTAGACACGGGGCTAATTTCTTTGATGTGGAAAGAGATCTTACAAATTGATAAAAACGATAAACAGTCACCAGAAAAATAGGCTAATGAAAATGACCAGGCAGTTTACAGAATAAGTATAAATGGATAGTAAACATGAAAGGATGCTTAAGCTTCTAAAGAAATTCAAGAGTGAAATAACTCTAAAATTCCATTTTTTGGGGCCTGCCCGGTGGTGCAAGCAGTTAAGTGCACGCGCTCTGCTGCGGCGGCCCGGGGTTCGCCGGTTCAGATCCCGGGTGTGCACTGACGCACTGCTTGGCAGGCCACGCTGTGGTGGCGTCCCATATAAAGTAGAGGGAGATGGGCATGGATGTTAGCCCAGGGCCAGTCTTCCTCGGCAAAAAAAGAGGAGGATTGGCAGATGTTAGCTCAGGGCTGATCTCCTCACACACACACACAAAAAATTCCAATTTTTGTCTCTTAGGTTGGCAAAGATTCAAAAAATTGATAATATCCAGTATTAATAAAGATGTGGGGGGAATTGGGCTCTCCTTATTATTAGTGCTTTGGAAGCATCTATCAGAATTTAAAATACATATGCCATTTATCAGGCAATTCTAAGTGTGCAAAGGATATGTGAACTAAAGAATATTCATTGCTTCATTATTTATAGAAGTAAAAAATTAGAAGCCACCTAAGTGTCCATTAATGGAGATTCGATGGACCTCCATAAAATGGAAAACCATCTAGTTTTAGGAAGTAATGAGGTGGCTCTATATGTAGTGACATAGAAAGAGGTCCTGATATATTACGAATTGTCCCTTTACATAGCATGTCTGATTATATTTGTGTGTGAATAGAAAATATCAGGAAGGATATTCACAATTCTCTGAAATGTGACTATCTTTGAGGAGTAGAGTTGTTGGAAGGAGGAGAATTGGGAGCATCGTGTTTCTAAACTGCTTGTTGTTTTTTAATAACAAGCATGTATTAAATTTATATTTAAAGGAAAAATATGCATTATATAATATCTACCAAATTAATAAATTAAGAATTATGTTTATAAATGAAAGAATTTTAGCAAAATTTTTCTGGTTTGGTTCCTGTTTAGATATTTAAATGTGAACATTAATTAGTTTACAGAAAGTAAAGGGAGTACTTTTCTATTAGGTAGAGATTATGCATAAATGAATAATTTCATTCTTTAAGATTTGAAATATCTTTCAAAAATAACCTGGTTGAATGAGTCATGTGATATATATATATAATATATACTATTATGATATTATAATATATATAATGTTAAAGTAGTCTTATCATTGGGGAAGGAAAAATTTAATAATGATCTATATCACCTTCAAAATTTATTAGTTATTAGCATATTTCATTTAAAATAATGTTGGGCTCAGGAATAGAAACTTTTAAAAATTAAATTGGATTGAACAATACAAAGTTTTGAATCTGTGAAAAGAAATACTAAAACAATTTCTTTAAAAGCAATAGATATAAAATTTTTCTGTATTTATATCTCAAAATATTTAATTTTTAAGTCTTTTTTATGCATTATCTTGTAATAAGTATATATTATAGTTATTTTCTTTTAATTTCATAATACTTTAATTTTAAATTTGTGAAAATTATAGGTTAAAAATCATTTGTGTATAGTGAGTTTATTTTACATTATGGAATCAAATTTTATCACAGGTTTCGTCTTGATATATATCGATGTTTGGCCAGTCCAGCTCTAATAATGTTAACAGAAGAGGATCCAATTCTGAGAGCGTTTGAACTTAGTGCTGATTTAAAAGAACTAAGCCTTGTGGAGGTGGAATTCAGGTGGGAATGAATGGAAATTGTAAATTACATAATGCCTTTTTTTTCCCTCCAGAATGTATTCAGCCTGAGGTTCTTCATAAGCCAAATTACAGTTTATATTTATTTACATTTATTTGTATTGATCCAAGATGACCACACCTTGCTTCCACCTACTTGGGATTTTCCTTTTTCCTCAGTGGAATAGACCCTGGTGCTACTTAGGTCACTCCTTCCCCGTCTGCCCTCTGCCACTCTTGCACTACCCTAAATCCCTCCTTTGTTCACTGTCACTGAAGGCATTCTAGGGCAGTGTGGAGAGTAGTAGGAGTGGAGCCTTGAGCAAACTTGTTTATAACTGCTCTCTGGCTTCCTCCGCTCGTTCCCAGATTCTATCATCATCCTTGGAGCCTGGTCCTTCAGAACTTCCAAAAACATAGAATGCTTTCAGTATGTGAGGGACGTTCCACATGCACAGACATAGGCCCTTTTCACTGTTTGATGAGATTTTCTTTTAGGAGAAACATAACGCGTAGGCATAAAAATAAAATACTACTGATTAAGAGGGTCAAATACCCAGTCTGAGTTTTCTTCTGAAATGAAGAGTTAAGTGTACTTCTGGCACTTTGTATACCCAAAGAATCACTGTTATAATTTTCCATTAGAGATGTGAGTTGGGGGGGACAAAAGGCTTTGAGAAAAGCAGCCTATTAAACTACTGATCTAAACATTAAAAAAAAAACCCGTAGAAAACTACATTTAGTAGACTGGAGGAAAAGCTTTGAGACATCCCCTTATATTAAAGTGTCCCTGGTGCCCTCCAAAGGAGGAATTGATCAAGATTTCTTGCCAGCCCCTACTGTGAGGTTTCTAGGGGGGTTATACCTATTCCCACATTTTCTCTCAAGTCCAACTGATATTGGAGCCCCATGTCTTGCATTGTACTCTCCAATGACTTCACAAGATTGGGAAAGTTTAAACTTCTACTTACTAGAAGGGCAATCAGAAGCTTACAATTTTCTTTAGTCTTAACAGCAGTATATAGTGTGTTATTGATAGCTCTGAGTTCTAGAAATTTTTAAAAGATATCTGTTCGTAAATTTTCAAGTTTGGAACTGCTGTATTTTAATTTGGATAAATTAAAATTTATTTGAACTCTATATGACATAAAGTATATACTTTGATTAATACATAAGACATGGTTAAAATGTAATCTGTTCCTACTTTTAACTTGATTAGCACATGAGGCTGTTAATAAATTATTCCTGTTAAATATGAAGAACTTCCTATTATAATCTCATAATTAGAGTTTTGAGTTACCATATAAACTAGAATTCATTCAACTCCTTCCAAAAAGGATTTGAAGCAACTACTATAATTATATTGTAATCACAGAATGATAAAGTTAGATTTTGAAGTGATCATAGAACCCATTTACCTCAATCCCCTAGACAGGGAGAGGGATCTATCTAGGTTAGATGTCTCACTGATATCAGCATCTAATTAGAAACAGTTGACATTGAAAGTAGGAGCAGAGTTGTAACTAGAACATAGGGCTCCTGGTTTCTAGTCTACTGTGTTTCATCTAAACTATACAGCTGCTTATTAGTTTTCCAGTCATCTGTTAGAGATTAAGCAAATTAGATTAATAAAATGTATTAATTTTGCTTGTGAATCTGTTGGTCTGTCAATGTTTAGCTAAAGATGTCTTTGTAATAATATACACTTTTGATGTATGTTCCCTTCTACAATTAGATTCCTAGACTAAAAAGCAGATAATACTTCATTTGTTAAAGAAATTCAACTACTTATTCTTAGATAGTTTTAGTTACCAGATGCATTATAGTAAATGCAAAGAATGGATGAGAAAAATGTTAGCCTGTAAGGAAAAGAAGTTTTTAATTCTTTGAGTATAATTTTATGCAACCAGTTCATGGAAAACCCCGTTGTATAAAAGATTAACCAGTGAAAAATTTTCCTGTTTTCTCTTTAAGAAAAAAAAAAATCTGAGTAAAAAATTATTTTCCAAAGTCCAATCCCAGTTGACTCATAATTATTTACTTCTAATTTCATTTTTAAGTTATTACACGTGGACATAAATTTAATGTAACTGTTATTTTTTTAAAAATAATTATCTACTAAAACTTCTTAGTTTCTTACAAATTGATTCAGGTCTGCCTTTAACAAGCAGTTAAATCCTAAGTTTCAAGGAATAGTGATTCTGAAAGAGAATTCTTTACTAGGCATGTTTCACTATTTTTCTTTCTAACTTGAATTTTGGTCAAGTGAGCACTTTAAAAATGAATCAAAACAGTATTTTAATATCAGAAGTAGCATAAACATATTGTAGACTATTATTGAAAAAACCTCTAGTTAAAAATAATATTTGTTGGGTAGCATTAAGATATTATTTCTATTGTTCAGATAAATAATATAAAAGAAGTTCTGTACCAAACTTATAGAGAATAAGGGCAAATGAGTTAAGTGAAGAACAATTGACAAATATCAGAATTTCTAGGAATATCATTATATATAAAAGAACATTGTGCTCATCTAGGATTATCTGTGTGAACACAGGGAACATAATTGTGTTACACTTTCCCCCAAAGCTATGGAGAATTTATGTACCTACTAGTAGGTTCCTTTGACTGTCAACACAGAATGACTTCAGATTTTGTGTAGCACTATTAGAATTAAAATGTCACTGAGTAAAAAAATTTCTAGTGAAAACAGCTTAATTAGAAGATGGAAGTGACATTTCTAAGAACAGACTGTTGCATTTTGCAGGAATGATTATGAGGAACTAGCCCGGCAATGTAAAATGTTTGCTAAAGATTTGCTTGCACAAGCCCGGAATTCACGCGAATTGGAAGTTATCCTAAACCATACGTCTAATGATGAGCCTCTTGACAAGCGGGGATTACTAGAAGAAAGAATGAATTTAAGTCGTCTAAAACTTGCTATCAAATATAACCAAAAGGAGGTATGAGGTTTTCTGTGATCTATCTAAATTATTTCCTCCACAGTAGTCTAGTGGCTCAGAGCAAAGGGTTTGGAGCAACACATCTAGGTTGAGATCCTAGTTCTGCTTCATAAAAACTCTGTGTCCTTGAGAAAGTTATTGAATCTCTCTGAGCTTTAGTTTTAAGAATTAATGAAGAATGTGTATTTAAAGAGTTTAGCACCATGAGCACTAGTATTAACCAAGTACTCAGTAAGTGGTAGTTGCTAATATTTTTAACAATTAATATTAATTATAATAATAATATGGATGTTAATTTAATGTTTTTGCAAAATATTAGCTACACAGGTAAGATCCTGTGTAGTAAGTGCCTTCGTAATGAAGTTTCCTTCTTGCATTTTGTCCGTCATAGGTTTGTTTTATTGATCTGGTTATAAATAGCCCTTTCTGTAGTAATAGTGCCTTTCTGTGTAAAAACGAAGTGTTAGATATTATGTTTCCTGATTCTTCTTATTTGTTAATTCATTGTGAAACCCAAAGGTGGAGAGGCGCATGCTATGATAACTAAGTTGAATCTGGCTCTTCTGGCATCATCCCTTCCTATTAAGGGAAATACCTATTTCTACTCCCCATACACACACATGCACATGATTCAAGAACTTGAAGAAGGAAGGTATGCATTTTAAATTTTATTTTTTGAGATAATTTACTAAACATGGGTATTTACATGTAGATAATGATAATTCAGTTGATAGTATGGGGTATTGATAAATGGTACCTTTAAGGTATTATTTCTAAGACATTTTCATTATTAATATAGATGTTGGACTAAAACTTGCTTGTAAAATATATATTAATATAAAAATGGGGCTGAAATAGATAATGGTAGAAGGCAAGATACAAGACCTTCAGTGCTAGGAGCAGAATTTTTTATCATGGTTGAAAATTTGAGCCTCATGATAGCTTTGTGACTTAGGAAATTGATACAGGAATTTTAAGATGTTTACTTTAAGATTACCTAGATAGTATATTGCTTATCTAGATCCCTGGCTTTAAATCCTATACTTTTTCTAGTACTCCAAGATTCTTGCTCAAAGTAGAACATTTATAGGAAAAAAAATTAAGTACAAGAATTTGGATTAGTGTCGATATAAGATTATAAGTCAATAACATACCTATGTAGCTTGAAAAGGAAATACAAGGCTAATGTGTATAAGTAGAAACAGAGAATATAGCAATCTTGATGTAATCTTCTTCTAATTATACATTTTGACACGATCTTAATTGGCTAGATCTTAGGTTGCTTACTTTTGTGTTCCATAACCTAAAATAGACATGAATACTAGAAAAATGATAAAATAAAGAGATAACAAGACACAAAATCAACTTAAGTGATTGGAAAAAGAACCTCAAAGAAAAGTGGAAAGAACCAAGATTATCCTGTCTAGGGAAGAAAAACTAAGAGGCAGTTTTCTAATGATATATATATATATATATCTCCTTGAAGGACTCACAGAGAATAACGAAATGTTCCATTCTAAAGAAGATGAAAGAGAAAGAAGCAAGAATAGTAATATTTTTAGTTGAAAGGAAGATACTCTATAATTTTAAGGATGAATGAAAATGTAAATTAATTCTTGAAACTAGATTTCTAAATATGATCAAAGGTGAAGATAATATTTTCCCAAATAGTCAGTAGACTTTGTTCAGTTATCCATCCTGAATAACAAACTACCCTGAAACTTAGTTGCATAAAACAGTACTTCATAGTCATTTTATAATAATAATATCATACTCATTTTTTGTGCTCTTGGATTCTGTAGGTCAGGAATTAGGAAAGGGCACAACAGGGATGATTTGTCTCTGCTTCACTATGTCTGGCGTCTCAGCTGGAGATAACTCAAATGACTGGGGGCTACAATCATCTGGAAGCTTCTTCACTCATATGTCTGGTGCCTGAGCAGCAGCCGAGGACTCAGGAACAGGAACCTCTGAGTGGGCTGGGTGCTCAGGTGGCTGGGTCCATAGGGCCTGGGGCTCCTGAGAACAGTGACTGAAACCATGGAGGGGCATGGCCATTGTAGTGGGTAGGCTTCGAGGAGATGGTCTGAGGAGGCTCTGAGGGCTGACTGGAGTGCCCACATGTAGCTTCTGTATGTGACCTGGACTTCTTCACAGCGGGGTGGCTTTCGGGCTGGTAGGACTTTTTACATGGTAGTTCACAGCTCTAAGTACAAGTATTCCTCAAACAAGGTGGAAGCTGCATGGCTTTTTAAGACCTACCTTCAGAAGTCACATAGCACCACTTCATCCAGAATCTACTGGTTAAAGCAATCGCAAGCTTGTTGCATTGAAAGGTAGGGAACATTGATAGCCCACTTCTTGATGAGAGGAGTGTCGAAGAATTTGTTTCTATGTTTTAAAACCATCACAGCCTTAGAACGTTTCCAACTGAATTTTGTTCTTCCAAATACACATTTAACATCACTGTTAATTATTTTTTTTTTTCAGGGTTACATAGTTTATTCTTTTTTTTTTTTTTAATTTTTTGTTTATTGCAGTAACATTGGTTTATAACATTGTAAAATTAATTAAATCATCATTATATGGAGGGATGGCCAGGACAGCAGTCCGTCCTGGGATTGCTTTGATATTCGAGGGAAGGGTGAAACCACTAAGTTTGGAATGCTACTAAGCTGGGTAGTTGGTGGGAGGAAAAGCTGTTTCTCTCTCAGGTGTTTCATCTTGAGGGACAAATTAAGATTCCTTAAGAATGCTGGAATCTGAGAAGAATAAAGAATGAAGTAAAACTTAACTGCCAAAAATGAGTAAAACATATTAGGAAATTTCTTGATAAGCACAATAAACAACAACAAAAAAGTGTGTCTAATTTTTTTTACTACATTGTTGCATTCTACAAAGTATATTCTATCTCAGGATACATCATTTTTAGACAGAAGATTGACCAAATATTATTTTAGATATTATTATCACTTGTCCTTTACCTTGGTAATTTCAAACCTGATCACATTACTGTATCTAGAGTTATCAGAATCCTTAAGTTATACAGATCTTCCTCAACTTGTGATGGGGTTACATCCCGATAAACCCATCATCGTAAGTTGAAAATATCGTTAATCAAAAATGCATTTAATACACCTAACCTACCGAACATCATAGCTTAGCCTAGCTTACCTTAAATATGCTCAGAACACTTACATTAGCCTACAATTGGGCAAAATCATCTCACACAGAGCCTATTTTTTAATAAAGTGTTGAATATCTCATGTAATTTATTGAATACTGTACTGAAAGTGAAAAACAGAATGATTGTGTGGGTACAGAATGGTTGTAAGTGTATCAGTTATTTACCCTCATGATTGCATGGCTGACCGGGAGCTGTGGCTCGCTGCCCCTGCCCAGCATCACCAGAAGTAACTTACTGCGTATCACTGGCCCCGGAAAAGATCAAAATTCAAAATTCGAAGTACGGTTTCTACTGAATTTGTATCACTTTGGCACCATTGTAAAGTCGAAAAGTCATGAGTCAAACCATCGTTAAGTTGGGGACTATCTGTATGGTCACAGCCTGAGCATTATATTGGGAAAATATTGCTTCTGAAATTTGTAAACTAAGAAACTTTGTGAATTTTGGTGAATTAATTTCTGTACTTGAACTAAAATTTTCCTCTTATTTGGGAATAGTTTTCCTTTTCTTCTCACACAGAACTCAGTTTTAATCAGATTTAAGAATATCTTTAATACATTCTAAGAAATTCTCAGTATTTTCATGGAGCATAAATATATCTGATGTTTAGACTTTGATTGCTTTGCTATCTGGCATCTTGGTTTCTTGTAACTGAAATTAGTTTTTCTAGACTCAAGCCTCTTTCTATGGATTGTGCTTGTTAACTTTAAAATTTCATAAACATTATTATAAGAGTCTTTATAAATTAAATGTTGCAAAATGACTAAGTAGGCTAGTAATAGTAGTTAATACTTATGTAGTGCATGCTATGAACCAGGCACTATTTTAAAAGCTTTATATTTAATCTTCATAACAAGTTTATGAGTAGATACTGTTATTATCCCCATTTTACAGATGGGGAATTTGTGGCTTTGAGAGGTTTAAAAACTTGCTCAAGTCATTTAGTAAGTGGCAGAGCCTGGATTGGAATCTAGATAATCTGGCTCCAGAGTCTATGCTCTTAACCTCTACACTCTTATTTTATTACACGTAAGATAAAAAAAACCTATGTTGACTGTATAGAATTGATTTTTAAACTATTATTAAAACTTTGAATACCAATTAAATAATAGTGTAATCAGTTCGTATTTATAGATTTTATTTTACTTTTGTGTGTGTGTGTGTCCTTTTCAGTTTGTCTCCCAGTCTAACTGCCAGCAGTTCCTGAACACTGTTTGGTTTGGGCAGATGTCAGGTTACCGGCGTAAGCCCACCTGTAAGAAGATAATGACTGTTTTGACAGTTGGCATCTTTTGGCCAGTTTTGTCACTTTGTTATTTGATAGCTCCCAAATCTCAGTTTGGCAGAATCATTCACACACCTTTTATGAAATTTATTATTCATGGAGCATCATATTTCACATTCCTGCTGTTGCTAAACCTATACTCTCTTGTCTACAATGAGGATAAGAAAAACACAATGGGACCAGCCCTTGAAAGAATAGACTATCTTCTTATACTTTGGATTATTGGTAAGTATCAAGTTAGTTTCAAGGGTTCTGCCTTTATTTAACCCATTAATTCTCCCTTGCTTGGTGGCATTATAAACATGTTTTCAATTTCTAAGTTTACACTGTTTACACAGCAAAAATTTGAACACATCCATAATCGTTGAAGACTTAACTAACATTTTTGTAAAGATAAATGTTCCTGAACTTGATGGTAAGGAAGCAGATCTCTTATTTACTATTACTTAATTACATGGAAGTTAAAAATTCTTTATTCTCAGTCTAAAATTGTTCATGATTGTTAAAACAGAAAAACAAATTTTACTAATGAATGCTTTTTTGGTGTAAGAGTATGAACCTTTTCTTAGGTATTTTGAAATGTAATACATTTTATACTCATTTGCATTTTAAGAGCTAACTATTTTGTTTTAATTATATCATTAGTTTTCCTTTTAAGAACTTATGTAGTTACATCTTACTTTACCTCTATTAAAGAAACATTTAAATTACGATTTAAAGAGGTCCCTGGTGACTCCCTCTATAAGTCAGTTCTTTGTAATGATAGCCAGATCTCTTTAAAAAGGACAGGTTTTTTTAATATAAGACATTTTATTATCTGAAAATCGTTTTTTGTAAGTATTATGCTATATAATAAATATCTTAAATGACCTGTATTTTTTACTTCCTTTGCCTTTTTGGGGGGGCATGGGGAGTTGAGTTACAATCACATTGTCTATTTATGGTCTTGTAATGACATCTTTTTTATTTCCTTCTGGATCTTCAACCTTGTTTTTAACCTCAGCATTTCCCACCTGTCCTACTATTTGCTATAGATAAAAGGATATTGAAATTTAGCCTTTTCTATGGTATACAGTGCTGATTGGTTACTATGTTTTTGATTGGTTCGATTATTAAACAATTTGAGAAGAGTTATTGTACAGTGTTCACTTTTAGTTTTTCTTCAGCTATAAAAATAATTTTCATATTTTGGGATTTTTATTTTTATGTGGAAATCAGTTAATTTCAAGTAACTTGATTTCAATCAGAGTTTTATTACTTGTAGCTGTATTCAATCCATGACACATTAATGTTTAAAATTAGGTATATAAAGTAAAAATAATACACCTCTGAACTCTAGGTTAAACAGAATTAAATAATTTCTTCTTAATATTTTCCTGTTTCCTGTATTTCCGCTATCCTGTCTGAAATTTAATAGTTTAGGAAATAATTTATACTTTATCATATGTAGTTCCAAATTGCATTGTTGTGGATCTTTCCAATGGGAAATTTATTTATATTGTTATTTGAATAGGTAAAAAAATATTAGGCTGAAAGGAATCTCTGAGAAGCATTTTTTCCTCTATTCACTTAAACTACTTTTGAAAGATGGTTGTATATACTTTAGTCATAAGGAAAGAAAATTTTATATCATTTATCTATAGCCTGTTGTTTGAATAGTAGTAAGAAAGAAAGAATAGTTTCTTTCTTTTGTAAATAAGATTCACTTTACCCAAGTCTGTATAAGAATCAAATTAAAGTTTATGTTTCTTAGCAGTGAGTAAAAATTCACTGAACTCAAAAAGTCATACCACTCTTTGGATACCATAAATATTGCTGCTGTCACTGATTTTCATAATAATGGTAAAATTATGGCTACTCCTTTTTAAGCATGATGGCCCTGTTTTCAATAACATTTACATTTCAGTTTATACACAAATGTGCACATGCACACACACATGCACACACACAGACACGCTATTAATTTTCTGACCACATTCTGCCTCAGTAGAAGAGTGCAATGTGAATTAAGCCAGTAAAACTCCTGGAAGTGTTTTACTTTTCTCAGCACAGCTTCTGCTCTGAAACAATTAGATCTGAATAGACCTTGCCAGAGGTCTTCCAAGCCTGTTATGTTTAGATCCTTCTGGGTTTCCTTAAATATATAGATCTGAAACCACTCTGAGCACGTAGGACTAGTTTGCCTGCTTCTCTAAAGGCACTCTTCATTTCAAGAAATGAGCACAGCAACTTGTGACTCATGATGACTGACTTTTGTGCATTTGTTTCCTGTTTCTTTTCCTTAGCCCTCCAGAAAAAAGTAGGGTTAAATTATAAAAAGCAAGGTAAAAAAAAAAAAAGGAAACAGTGTGTTGATAAATGCGCAGAATATTAATGGTTTCCTTTTACTTAATTTTTTGCTATTGGAAGGTAGTAGAACAGCTCTTATAATAATGTGTGTTGTGTACCTGGTTTGTTCAAGTACAGGCAGAAATAGATGTGGTCCAACACTCATGGAGCTTATGGGCTAATTAAGACAAAAAGCCCATTAACTTGAGAATCACACAGATAAATAAAAAATCACAACTGAGTTAAGTGCTGCTACCTAAAGGTCATGGAGCTACTAAGTAAAGGTCATGGGGGAGCAAGCATATTTTAAGGGCATTTTACCTAGTCAGGGAGGTTGGAAAGGCTATCCTGAGGAAGTGATAAATGAGCTAAGATCTGAATGATAAATAGGAGTCAGCTAGGAGAATTGGAGAGAAAAGTAGTCTAGGCTGATATGAAAGTTACGTTCAGAGGCACCATGGCAAGAGGGAGCGTGGTACAAAGAATGGACTGAGTAAAGGCTGGAGCAAGGAGAACAGGAGAAGGAATTCAAGATGAAGCTGTAGAAATGGTTGTTGCACCAGACCGGGGACAGTCTTGAAGGCCGTGTTAAGTAATTTTGACTTTATTCTAAGAACCATGGAAAACCATTGAAGTTTTTAATTAGGTGAGTGACATGATCAGATTTGCCTTTTGAAAAGATCACTCTGGCTGCAGTGTGGAGGATTTGTTGGGAGCCTAGGGCTATGGCAAGAGTAGACGGATGGAGACCAAAAAGGAAGCTGGTACAGTAATCTGGATGAAAGCTGATGGTACCTTGGACTTAGGGTGATTGATAGAAAAAGAGAGAAGAGAACAGATTTGAGAGATATTTACAAAGTAAAGCCATAGGACATGGAAATACGTAGTATATAGGAGGTGAGGGAGAGGGAGATTATTAAGCAAGAAGGTATTTTGGAAAAGCATTAGATTTGGGGATTTATGAGGGGCGGAGATCCTGAATGTGATTTTGGATATGTTGAAATTAAAATCCAAAAGATGTGTCAATCAGACAATTGGATATCACAGTCTAGAGCTCAAGAGGAAGTCTAAGTTTGAGTTGGCAATGTGCAAATAATCTGCATATAGGTCGTGTATGAGACTATGGGCTTGAATGAGAGACACTTGAGAAAGCATAAAATGAAAAGAAGAGAGGACCTAGGAGGAAGCCTTGAGGAATCCCAAAATGGTGGGATTACAGCTTACTAATGTTAGTTACTAATTCTAAAAAACAAACACAAAAAAGGACAAAAATAGTTTAAAATTATTTTGTTCTTCCAATCCAATTCGGAAATATGAAATACGTCAAGTGTATTAGCTTCATTTTGGTTTGGGGTGTTGTTCAGGAGTTGGGAAGCCACCTGACAGTGGTACTCACTATTCTTTCATATGTATGCCTTTTTTCATCAAAAATCTTCTCCAATTCATGTTGTAATTTTTGTCAAGAGTTCTTATTAGGTATAGTATCGCATTTTACAGAAATAAAACAGTTATTTCTGTAAGCATCTTTCTTGGTTTAGTGTTTTATTGTTAGAGCATTGAGTTAACAAAATTGAAGTAATAAAATGTTACCTGCTAGTCTATTTGGTTTAACATTTTCGGATGGTTTTTATCTATTCATTTTAAATAGAAGCTCATCCAAGTGGAATTTTTTTTAAGTGTTTTTCCCTGTCAGATCTGCAAATATTTTGAAGTGTTTTTTCTATATAAAATATTGGTACTGTGTAATTAAGATGTTATGAACAGAGTTTTTGAAGAATGCTTCATGTATTTCCCAGGGGAATTATTCTGCCTACTGGTGAGCCAGAAAATGACTATGATTGGCTTAACTTGATCCCCACCCATACGTTATGTTGCAGCATACTATTCTTTTGTCACTTTAAATTCTCCTTAAAAATGTCTTAATGAAGGAATGTATCGTAAAACTATCCTGGGTTATATTACTGTTCTCTGGTACTCCTACGAATATATCTGTGGAAGAATTTCTTGCCTAAAAAGGGAGCGGTTTTTTTTTGTTTGGTTTTTATTTGTGTATATTTATTCATTTAGCAAATTTTTGAGCACCCAGTATGTATCAGGCATTATTCAAGACATTTAGGACACTGGTTAATAAAACAAAGATTCTTACCCTTGAAGAGCTTAGTCAAAGTAGGGGAAAGATAGTCAGTTAATAATAGACATAATAAGTAAACTATATCCAGTGTTTAAAAGTGATAAGTACTAAGGGAAAAGAAAGAAGCAGAGTTAGGGGATTGGGAGTGGGAGGCATGGGGTTTGCAGTTTTAAACAGGATGATTAGAGTAGGTGGTGAGCAAAGATGTGAAGTGAGGGAGTTGGCCAAGTGGATATCTGGGTGAGAAACTTCCAGCCAGAGGGAAGAGCCAATGTAAAGCCCTAAGGCAGGAGTCTGTGTATTCACAGCAAGGAGGCCAGTTGACAAGAGTAGTGGAAGAAAAGATTGATAGGAGATGAGGTCAGAGAGGAGAGGTAATATAGGGCCTTTTAGGCCATTGTAAGGAATTTGGTTTTAACTCTGAGTGAAATGAGATAAAAGGGAAGGTGCAGTGCCCACTGTGCGCCATCAGCAGCGGTGATCTTGGGTTCTCATTGGCATTCACACTCACAGGACACAATAGGCTGAAACCTGGCACCAGGTTTACTTAGCTTTGTAGGAGGATACAAGACAGGAAGTACAGCATGTCAAAATGACAGCTTCAAATATCTTTATTGGCGGTTCTTACAAAAGTCTGGGGCTGCTTCCCAGCCCCATAGTGGGCACATTCAGTTGTATAGGATGAGGCCATATGGCCACATGGATAGGTGTGGGCTACCCCAGCTAGAGAAGCCTGTTAAGAGGGACATCACGTGGAGAAGCTGAGGCCTGTGTTTCTCAACATGTTTTCATGTAGTCCTAGCTGTGTATATCCTTCAGAGTCTGTGAGTCTACTCATAGTCCCAATCCAGGTGCCGTTTCCCAATCAGTGGTTGTTTTTGTAATAATGTTGAACACAGCTTACCTTCCATATTTTTCTTAACATAGTGTGTTTCCAAGGAAACCACTTTAATAGATGATAACATGAGGTTATGTTTCCATGGAAAAAGAGTTCTGACCTGCAGTTAATCCTTTCTTCTCTGGGAGTTACTAAAGAGTTTTGAGGAGAGAAGTAACACTTGCATTTTAAAAGGATTACTCTGGTGCTGTGTTGAGAATAGGTTTAAGAGAGATCAGGTAGTCTATTTCAGTAATCCAGGCAAGAGAGGATGGTAGCTTGAAGTTGAAGGGGTAGTGAGAAGGGTTAAATCCTAAAAATATTTTGAAATTAGAGCCAACAGAACTTGCTGTTGCTTTGAATGTTTCCTTTAAAAGAAATATGAGTCAAGGATGATGCAAAGACATTTGGATTGAGCAACTAGAAGGATGGAGTTGCCATTGACTCAGATGGGGCAGTCTTCAAGTGCAGTGAATTTGGGGGCAGAGATTAGGAGTTCAGTTCGGACATGTTAGGACATCCATCTGGAAATGTAGAGTAGCCAAGAGCCTATACCAGTTGAGTTTAGGGGAGAGATTTAGAGATATTATTATGTAGATACAGGTTGAGTTTAGAGATAAAAATTTGAAAGTCTGCCACATAGATGGTATTTAAAGCCGTTAGACTAGATGAGTGAATGTAGGAAAGAATGTAGATAAAGCAAAGAAAACAATCAGGAGCCCAGCCTTTGGGGGGGGGGTGTATTTAGCCTCAATTTGTTTGTTTTCTTATGCTTGTTTCGCATCACTTATTAAAATCCCTCTCTGGGAAAGATATTGTCATATGAAACTTCAGGTTACTGTCTTTTAAATTTTGAGAACGTTTTATTAAAAAGTTCTTAATTTTTTTCTTCTGAATGAGGCTGTAGCTGATGCAAGTGTTATTTAGTACTTTGAGTCTTAAAGTATTTTTTAGTTTATTATTGAATTGAGCAAGTGTTATCTGATTTTTTTTTCTTCTTTTTTTTAGGGATGATTTGGTCAGACATTAAAAGGCTCTGGTATGAAGGGTTGGAAGACTTTTTAGAAGAATCTCGTAATCAACTCAGTTTTGTCATGAATTCACTTTATTTGGCAACCTTTGCCCTCAAAGTGGTTGCGCACAACAAGGTGACTACTAACTATGTCAATTGGAGGCACAAATGAAGTTTATTTAGGAAAAACCTGAGATATTTACCCATGTAACTCAGAGTTACATTGGCCCAAGTCTGTGTCTCATGTATTTCCATTTTGTTTTCTTCCTTTCCGATAGTTTAAAGGATGTTAATTACCTTTAAATGTTGGTTACCTGTTATATGCCAGGCATCATGGTTGATACTTGCTATACTTTATCTCATTCTATCCTCACAGGGACTCTATGAGACAGATGTCCTTTCCCCATTTTGCAAATAAGGAAAACGAAGCTCAGAGATATTAAGTAACTTGTCCAAGACCACACAGTAAGAAACCAAGACTGGATTTAAATCCAGGTCTGTCTAGGCATTTTCTTTCTACCAAATGCCAATTCCTTATACCTGAGCCAGGCTCATTTACCTCATTAACCTGTATATACTTAAAACGAGAACACAAAGTTACTTAAATTGATTAGTTTTAGATATCTTTATATCTGCCAGGAAAAATTATCTGAATGGAATACAATATATAGTATTTTACACATTCCAAATCATGATTATTATCTTCCACAGCTTAAAAAGTGATGTAAAGGTAATAAGTTTCTGATGTAAAGGTAATAAGTTTCTGATTTAAAATATTCTGAGATATTTTAAATCTCCCCCAGAAAAGGTAATAGATTTTGTTAACTATCGTTTTTTTAAACCATGAGTTTAGAATTCTTCTGAGGTATCACATTCAAGGAACTAAAAGATATAATATTTTCTGTTTTTTGACTAATTTATAGACTATAGAAAAAGCAAACTGGTTATCTTACATCATTTTACTTATTAAAAAGTCTCTATTCCTTTCATTGATCCGTAGTACAGAGCATGTTTGTTAGGTATGTTCGATGACCAGAGTTGTGAAATGGCTAAGAAAATAAAAATTGGTCATACAAAGATAAATGGTTCAGTAAAGAGGTTGAGGGTCCTTGGTTTTTAGACTGGTGTGTTTAGTTCTAGAAATGGGATGCCCATATAATTTATCATCCAAACACCTTGAGAGTGAAAGGGGGCACTATTAATAATTATGCCAGGAAAACTGGTATGTAATCTGGGACTATCCCAGGCAATTGCAACAGCTAGCCTCTATATGTCTGGGTATAGTAATGTACTCTTTTTTTCTTGGTATTTAGAAGGGAGAAGAACTTCTATGGTTCATTCTAGATTCCTGAGTCAAAGGGCTGTTAATTTAATAGCTGTTAAGGCTGTTAATTAATAGCTAATTAATTGACAGCAAACATACTTAAAGTTTGTGTTGTGGAATTGAAGAAAAACTAGCAAACATTTCATTCATAAAAAGTTTAATGACAGTTTTTTCAAAATTGTTTGCTTTTTTAAAACCTAAGCATTTTCGAGAAAACCTCTTTATAAAGAGTAAATGATATTGCCTCACATGCATAGAAATCTTTTATTTAGTTAAAACAATGTTATTACTATTAAAAGAGGAGGACTATATAAAACATAAAATGAAGATTACCCCTACAAGGAGACATAATTAAAATAGGTTTCTTTCAACAGTCAGAATATTTGTGTTTATTTTCCTGAATTGAGAGAGCTATTTACCTTTGGCTTTTTCTTCCTAACCTTAGTTTCATGATTTTGCTGATCGGAAGGACTGGGATGCATTCCATCCTACACTGGTGGCAGAAGGGCTTTTTGCATTTGCGAATGTTCTGAGTTATCTTCGTCTCTTTTTTATGTATACAACAAGCTCTATCTTGGGTCCATTACAGGTAAATAATTAAAATTTCTTAAAGAATATTTGTTAGATGTCATTATTATTACATCTCTCTACTTGTCCACTGGAACATTGTTCCTTTATGATGTTAAAGCTAAACTTTGCTTTTGAAAATAATTAACAATTAAAAGGACAAAGCATGTTCATCTGCTTTGCTTCTGGCTGAATGATAATCCTTTGCTTTCAGGTATTCAAACTTTATTAAGCTGTGGTCCATTGTCCCTCTCCCTGTTGTTCATAGACATAGACGCGTTTAAAATATAGTTATACTTCAGACAGTAGAAGGACGTAAAAATTTGCTTTTTACCGAAATGAATCTCACATTTAAAGTTTTAAGTGATAAATATAAGGAAGTGTTGTGCAAACAGAATTCATACTTCATGATTTTGAAAATATGTAAGCTGTATTTTAAAAAATTACTCTTACTTTGTTTAATAAATACTAAATGTAGTAAGTTGGAAAATAGCATATTTAGAGCTAAAAAATTTCATAGAGTTCATGTAGTCCAGCTTTGTGCTTTATAGTACTTTATAGTCAAAGAAATTGAGCTTTTGAGATGGTGTGTGATTTGTTCAAAGTAGCATGATTATCATGCATAAGAATCCAGGACTAAATTCTAAGTCTCTTCGCACTAAAGAAAGGACTCAGAATTGGTTGAATTTACCCCACAGATTTTAGTAGTTGATTGTTTTTAGAAGGTGGGATCAACTCTGCTAGGTGACTAGCTCTACATAATAGTTTAAGTTAACTTATAAGTCTGAAAATTTGAGCAATATTCATTTTTCCTTGATAAGTCAAAATTTACTAACAATTTAGATTCTCTTTTATATAGATATACTTTTTTTGGTGAGGAAGATTAGCCCTAAGCTAACAGCTGTTGCCAGTCCTCCTCTTTTTGCTGAGGAAGATTGGCCCTGGGCTAACATCCGTTTCCATCTTCCTCTACTTTATATGTGGGACGCCTGCCACAGCATGGCTTGATAAGCAGCGCATAGGTCTGCGCCTAGGATCCGAACCTGCGAACCCTGGGCTGCCGAAGCGGAGCGTATGAACTTAACCATTACGCCACCGGGCCGGCCTCCAAGATTCTCTTTTATATTTTTAAAGGAGATATTTTAAATAAAAGGTATAATTACCTTCTCCAAACAGAGATAGGAAAATAAAATATGTAGGAGAAACCTGATTTGATTTGGCTTGTCCTATCATCCTGCAACGGTATTTCCTGAGATGTGACTCCCTTAACCAAGTCCTGTGAGATTCTCTGACTGAAATAAGTTTGGGACACATGCATTCCTTATACCTCTTTTGGGAATTCACAGTGCACATTATCACATTAAAGCCTGTGAGAAAGAAGTAAGGAAGCTTGTTTAAACTTGTTCAAACTATCCTTACCTAAATTCATTTAACATCATACCCATTTTTCATGAAATAAGCTCAGGTCTCTGTTTTTCTCCAAAACATAGTATGTGAAACACTGGTTTAGACTATCTGTTATTTTGATTTAATTTTGCCACTAATATCTTCTATAAATGTTTTAATTAAGAGTCAATAGTATTTTTATATGCACATTGAATTTTTGTTTTAGTTAAAAACTGATGATGTCACTAAGTTTCTATACTGGATATTTCTTTAAAGAGTTTTACAAAGACTTAAAAAGGAGAACGTATGTTATTATTTCTTAATGAATTATCATTTGTTTTTCTGAGAACTGCTGAGTCAGGTCTTCCTGACTTAATCTCTTCCCAAAAGAACTATAGATGTGTATACAAATAATGCATAAGTGGGTGTGTCTCATTTCAGCTGTTGTGTGTGTTTTTCTCCTCCAGCAGGATAATTTATATTGTTCTAATAGCCGTAGAACTGACAAATAATTTAAGTCAAGCCAGCAAGTATTTATTGTGTTCCTATTTTTTAAAAGGACTGCAGGTTCATCATAATATATGTTTAAATATTATGATTTAATCCAACAAATGATTTTTAAAAATTATCTTTATTAAGGTATAATTTGCATACAATAAAATGCACCCATCTTAACTGTAGAGTTTGGTGAGTTTTGCAAATGCGTAAACATGTTTAATCACCACCGTAATCAAGGTATAGAATGTTTGTATCACCCCAAAAAGTTTCTTGCATTTAGTATTCCCCCCACCCTCATCCCAGGCAACCATTGATCATCTGTATGTGATTGTCTGGTTATAGGCTAGTTATAGGCTGAAGGATTTGGAAGCACAAGTAGAATTAATATGGTATTACAAAGTAAATCTTCTCAGACAAAACGTCGTCTGCCATCTTTAGAGTGCGATTGCTTCTCATGGTTGCAAGCTCCCTGCTCCAAGTTGTTACATCAAGTCTACGTTCAGCAGGAAGAAGGGGAAAGCCAGAAAGCATGGGCCAGCTGTCTTTCTGTCTTTTTTGTCGCTGAGGAAGATTTGCCCTGAGCTAACATCTGTTGCCAATCTTCCTCTTTTTCTATGTGAGCCACTGCCACAGCATGGCCACTGACGAGTGGTTTAGGTCCATGCCTGGGAAACTGGGCCGTCAAAGCAAAGTGCCCTGAACTTAACCACTAGGTCATGGAGGCTGGCCCTGTCTTTCTCTTTTATATCAAGAGAACAATCATTTTCCCTGGAGGCCTACCAGATACTTCCACTTATAACTCATTGACAGAATTTGGTCGCATGGCTATTTATGGCTACAAGAAAGTCTGAGGAGATGAGTACTTTCAATTGAGCATATTAGCTCCCAAGAAATCAAGGTCTGATTAGTCAGGAAAAGGGCAAAAAGTAGAGATTGAATAAGCATCTGTAGAGTCATATTTTCAGGCTTTTACTTAAAAAATGTTTTCAATTTGTTTTCCAGTGTAGTCTTATTAACACGGCAGATTTGTATTACATATCAGTACCAAAGTATTCTAGAATAATTTTATGCAGAAAATTTGTAATAAATTTTTTCCATTTCATTCATCATAAGTAAATAGAGTGATCCAGTTGTGAATATAAAACTAAATGAAGTGCAAAAAGAAAATTGACAGTAAGTTAACTACTTTAGCAAAAGTGCAACTTTTTAAATGTTTTTATGTGATTACTGCACTTGTTTGTTAAATTTATCTCTATCTATTAACAATTTTCCTTCCCAATATTTGCAGATTTAGAAGCTGACAGACTTATTTTAACTGGTTATATTACCTGTAGTAGAGGTACAGATCTCTCCCTTGGTTAGAATGTCCATATTTTATCATCTAAATGGAGACATTTTGGGACAGGAAAAGGATGCTATTAATTACTAAGTTGGGACAACAAGTGTAAACTGGGACTGTACCAGGCAAATCAAGGTCATAGGATTATCCTATAGTGGGATATATAAAATGATCCTATATTCATCAGCGATTGCATCCTTTATCCTAGTACTTGACATTTTTGTGATTGTATTCATTAAATTTGTGACTTATGTTGAAGGTAGACTTTGGAACGTGGCCTTCTACAATCTGACCCTACTCACTTTCTAGCCATTGCTCACTATACTCATCTCCTTGTCTCTTTCTGAAATCCTTCTCCATTTGGGCCAAGACCAGTCACTAATCTCACACATGTCCTGTGCTTTTCCACTTCCATGTCATTGTTTATGTTATTACCCTGTTTAGAATGTCCCAGCTTATCCTCTCTTGTTGAAACTTTACTTATTCATTCAACAAACATTTATTGAGTGCCTAGTAGGTACTAGGCACTGGGAATAAATGAATACATGGCAATCTCTTTTTAAAGAGCTCATAGTTCACTGAGGGTGACAGAACAAGCTAATGACAATGTTTAGAGGGGTAAATGCTATAATAGAAATCTCGGAGGAAGGGCACTCACTTGAGTTGAAGACATCAGAGAAGACTTCCCAGAAGAGATGACTCTGGAATAAAGCCTTGAAAGATGAGTAGAAAGAAGGTTGGGTCCAGGAAAAGGGAACATATGCCAGCTTTAGTGTCCCCTCCACTAGAAATCTATTCCTACTCTCCTTCTCCTGTATGGAAAAATCTTCATCTGATGGAATTAATCCTTTGAACCTCTAATGAGCACTTCCTATAGCTTGTCTTAATTATAAGACAACTTAAATTTAGCTTGTTTTAAATTATGTTATGTTGTTTCTACTAAATTAGAAATTTCTTGAGGATGGGGAATATATCTTCATTTTCTCATCAACACCTTATTCACCGCCTTGCCATAGTAGTTACTTAATGAATGTTTATTGAATTGAATTGAAAAACTGGTTAGAATGAGGTTGGGTAGAGACAAGTGCTAATTGATATGAGAAAAGAAATAAGCTGATGGAGAAATAAGGCTATATCTTAGCTGTTGCTTTAGCTGCTTATTCAAAATAATAACGAGAACTAACATTTACTGGACATTTCATGTGGGCCAGGCACTGTGCTAAGTGTTTTCTGCTTATTTAATCCTCGTTACAACCCGTGTGATTTTTTTATTTCCATTTTACAAATGGGGAATCTAAGGCTTAGAGAGGTTAAATAGTTCACAGAACTGCTAAGTGGTAGATAAAAGAGTTGAACCTGAGCCTGTCTGACCCCAGAGGCCAACCTACTCTTTGAAGTTAGCTTTCCTGCCTTTATGAAGGATGCCAGCTAATCCACCTCAGCAGAAAGAAGTCATGGTTGGGCATAAATCAGTAATGTTCTATATTTTAACAAAAAAAGACATGAAGATCAAATCTACAAATTATGGTGGTAATAGTAATAACAACAGTAACGTTTGAGTCCTTCCTATGTGCCAGATACTGTTCTAAGATCTTTATTTACATTTATTACCTCATTTAATCCTCACAACCATTCTAAGAGGCAGACTCTTTTATTTCCATTTTACAGAGGAAGAAACTGAGGCATAGAGCCATTAAATAACTTGCACAAGGTCACACAGCTGGTAAGTAGCAGGACGGGGATTCCAACCCAGGTGGTTTGGCTCCAGAGCTAATGGTCTTAACCACTGTGCTAAATTGCCTCTCAGTGTTGTCTATACTACAGAATAATACAATTCACTCATTAACTTTTATTGTACAATACTTCTGTGGGCAGGTTTTAATAATCTACAGATTTTAACAGTTCTTCCTGGTTTATCCACATGTTTCAAATGAATTAACTTTTAACACTGGTAGTTGGGTGATTAGACAGAAAGGACAAGACAGAACCACACAGCTTCGTTCAAAATCTTGCTCTGTAATTTACTGTTACTTCATCTCTGTGAGTCTCGGGTTCTATGTCTGTTGTTGTGAGGATTAAATGGGTCTGTGTATGTAAGATGCATAGCAGAGTGCCTGACACCTGGTGGCTTCACATAAACGTTTAATCCATTCTCTTTAGTTAGTGGAGTTAACTGTGGCAGACCTGAAAAATAATTCAAGAAAACTTGGAAAGTTAATGGAGTGTCTGACATATGAGTGCATACTTTATTCCTAGTGAATTATTTGGTTTTACTAGATAATTATCAGATTTAATTTAGTGGCCTGTGTAACATAAATGGCATATTGTTGTCATTTGTAATGAGTGAAGAGCGATTCAGTGCTTTGCACTTTGGGGTATACTGGGGGTGGATGTTTTTCTTTTAAGAGGCATAGAATGGTAGAGCTAGAGGGAAACTTAGAGTTCATGTAGTCTAGGGGTTCCCACACTGGAGCGGCTGCAGAATCCCCTCAGGGAACATGTTAAACCTACAGTCTCAAGTCCTACTGTTAGAGAGACTGATTAATAGATTGGGGTAAAGTCTGGCAAATTTTTAATAGCACATAGGTGAGTGAGTCTGATGTAGCATTTGGCGGACCCTTTCATGGGTCAGGAAACTAAGGCCCAGCTCACACAGTGTTAGAAAGAAGACCTGGTGTAAAATGTTAGTTAACAATTCTATCTTTTTTGCATATTTATTCGTATATTAATTCAACAAGCCCTGCTGTGTAGGGGAACTGTTATATGAGAACTAAATCCGTCTTAGTTGTACCCAGCCCCAAATGTTTAATGGGAGAACTAAGATAAAAACCACAAAGTGATGTTTTGAAAAAGCGCTTGCAAGGAGTTAGATGCAAGAGTTCAGGCCCACCTGTACCATCTGTTAGTTCTGTTACCCTGAGCAAGTCACTAAATCCAAGCTTCAGTTTGTCACTTGGAAAAATAGAGATAATACCAGCCTTCCCTATCTTGCAGGGTAAATAAAAATATGTTATAGCTCTTGGAAAATGGTAAAGAGTTAGATAAAAGGCATCTAAAAAGTAGTTATGTATTCCGCATTTTAATTAATATACCAGGCTCGGGAGCTTGCTGACGTTGGGCCTGCCCTTAAAGACTGCTAGAGGAGACAAACAAATATTAGTATAAAGTGAAAAATACTATTTTAGAGATTACATGCACAGTACTTTGGGAGCATGACTGTGGGGGTGCCTGGAGAGAGTCAGCAAAGCTTCTTAGAGGAGGTGACATTTGATCTGGGCCTCAAAGGGATGAGAAGCTTGCCTGGCAAAAAACAAAGGGAGAGTAACACATGCAGAAACATGGAATCATGAGAGCATGGCATGCTTTGAGAAGACGGGCTGTTCTTTGTACTCGGACCATGGAGTGCAGTTGGCGAGAAGAGACTGAAAAAGATACTGGGCTGAACTCTGAAGGTCTCTGTGCCAGGAATTTGAGTATTTTCACATGTGCAAAGGAGGTTTTGAGCATAAAATGATTAGATAAAACTTTTAGACAGATAGTTATGGCTTTTTCTGTAGAAAGATTTGGTTGGAGAATGATTAGAAGTTGCCATTATTATTGCTTTCTTTTGTCAACAGTTTTTATAATTTAATAGTTGATATGAGCCCTAGTGATATCAACCTTTCCCCTATCAGGCATTTAGGATGTTTTTGCTGTTCTACATAGTACTCTGTGTATGAGGGGTTTTGCCTCTGTTAAATTATTTCCTAAGTGTAAGTCACCAGTAGCATTAACATATCAAAAGATATGCTCCATAGAGTACCTCAGTATTTCTATTTCTTTACAAAAGGATGTGTTAATTTTTAGTCACACAGCAGTATAAAAGTATACTGTTTCACCACATTAATAGCATTTGGTGCTATCTCTTTAAAATAAATTATACTAACTTAGTAGTTTGCTTTAATTTCCAGCAGATTACTAGAAAAGATATATATTTTTTTGTACTGTGTACTAGTGTACTGGTATTAACTCCTGTGTAAATTTTAGTATTGATATTTTAATTACTTTTCTCTTTTCATTCCTTAATTTTTCATATTTCTCAAATAAAACTGCTAAGTTGTTTTAAATAAGTAAATATTTAAGAAAGCGTGATTATTATTTTTACAAATAAATAAGCTTTATAGTCTTTCTCAGTCTAAAATAAACGTGCCATTTTTAATGTTTGCCTTTCTGTGAACGCTTGGTTGGTGTTCTCTTCAAGCCATTGTTCACTTCAGTGATGGCCACTGTAGGGACTTTTTGTTCTTCCGTCTTCTACAAGAGCTAATATCATGCTTTTAAAAAACAAATCTTGACGTTTGTGGTATTCTCGTTAAATATTGCTCATCCTGATATTGAAATTGAATTACACTTACTTTTTAAAACTTAGTAATGTTAAATTAAGGCTTCTACTTTTGGACTAAATTTTTAAAATTAATATTGTAGTATCATACATGGTCATTCTTAGAAAACTCTATTCACCTATAAGCTTACAGCGTCTAAACTTTCTTCAAAGGCAGTCTTTTCTGTAGTTATCTAAAGCAGTTACTATATTCTTATTGTCATAAGTTATTAAGTTCTCTACTAATATGGTATGGCTTTATTCTAAGCACTTACAATCTGAAAAAATGATTTCTTTTCCAAGGTGACTCTATCATTGATTAAGAGGGAAATGTATTTCTTCTCTTTCTCACACATTTTGAGCTTTCTGATTCTAAAAGCTCCCTGTTTCTTCTGTCAGAATTTTACAAGGGGACCAAGTGAGGGAAGATAAGACTTTGAAAAGTACCACATGGCCTAGTCAAAGGCACAAAAGTCGGGCACACTGGACCTCTCACTGTTGCAGAGCCTGAGTTACTAGCTTGTGGTGAACCTAAACATTTTAGCACACCTCTTCTACTTCGTTAACTGGCTCACTTTAGTGGGCTAGAGGGCCTTGGCCACTTGCCTGCTGCTACCATTTTGTATCATTGGTGACTGACGTATGTTATGTTGGCAGGCTTGATATCTCAAAAGTAATCAATGCATATAGTAAAGAAAATTCAAAGGGGTGTAAAATGAGAAAGTCTGCCTTCCACATCTTTAGTCCTACCTCCCATAGAGAAGCACTGTTAACAGATTCTTGTGTAAACTTCCAGAAGTTTTCTGTCTATTAAACCATATGAAAAAATGTATATTATCTATCATTTAAAAAAATAGAAATGAGAGCTGTTATGGTACTGTTCTATACCCTACTTTTTTGACTGAATATTTTATAGATATCTTTCTAAGCCAGTACCATATAGATGTGCTTCATTCTTTTTAACAACAAAATTAGGATGTTCTAATTTTTTTCACTACATGTAACGACGCTGCAATGAAAATCTTTGTATACTTCCTATCTGTTGGCTAAATTCCTAGGGATAGAATTGCTGAGTCAAAAGGGTAATGTCAAATTGTTCTCCAAATTTGTATGCCAATTTAAACACCAAGAATTGATGCAAAGTGCCTATTCCCCGGATTTTGAAGGAGTGTTGAAGGAGAATGAAATTAGGCTTGAATAAAGCTCCCAGATACACTACACATGTCTAAATTACAAAAGATACTGATATTAATACTAGACTCTCTCATTTGTCTTGCACGCATATTTTCTTATAATGGACCCAAAATGAAAGAAAATTGATCACCTTGATAAAAGAGATTATAGGGCAGTCCTGGAGGAGAAAATGCTGTCCTTTAGGAATTGATTGCAAAAATCAAATGAAATACTTCATGTCATAATGATTTTATATTTGTAGAATTTAAGAAGCTATATAAATATAAGCATTTATTTCCCTTTAGGTTCGAGCAAGGAATTTTCCTTTTATTGCTTGCAAATTAGGCTTTTCTTAAATCTCCATGTCTCTGCCTCTACCTTCAGAGCAACAGTGTTTTCTGCACACCTGGTCCAGATTCAAGGCATGCACCATCCAACACTCACAGTGCGGGCATGATTAGAATGGTTTTTTGTTAGGCAGCTAAATTTTTGATGTTTTGAAAGTGCTGAAATATCTTAACCAGATGGAACAAAAGGAGTAGCCTGTGCATCATGTGTTTGTCTTCCTTTTATTGCCTGATCGTTTAATATTTAATATTTTGTTTTCCTGATAATGTTGATGAACACTTATGTAATATATTCCACAGATATCAATGGGACAGATGTTACAAGATTTTGGAAAATTTCTTGGGATGTTCCTTCTTGTTTTGTTTTCTTTCACAATTGGACTGACACAACTGTATGATAAAGGCTATACTCCAAAAGAACAAAAGGACTGTGTAGGCATCTTCTGTGAACAGCAAAGCAATGATACCTTCCATTCGTGAGTGTCTTTTTAAATTTTTAGTAAATATATTTCTCTCTTTCTGTCATGTTATGTGTGAATTAGTAGGTCATTAGAATTGAGAATCATTAGAGTTTCATGAATAATTTTTTTTTCTCTTATTTACTGTATCATAAGGAATTGAACAACCAGTTGAGAGGCAGACAAAATACCTCGCCTCAGTCTTAAATAAAATAACGGAGGAGCATGGAATTACATGTTTGTTGTCTTCCTATTATTTTACCAACTATTCTTTAGTTACTTGCATGTCATCTTATTTAAGGAATAAGATTAAATGTAAATAAGATTAAAAAAGGAATAACATTATTAAATAATAAATATTCATCTAATACCTTTTATATGCCAGACATTGTTGAAAGTGCTGAGTGAATGAAGTGTCAGTGAACAGAACTACCTCATGGAGCTTCTACTCCAGTGAGGTGATACAGGCCATAAGAAGAGAAATAAGATGTGTGGTGCGCTACACAGTGAGCAGGGCTAAGGAAACAAACAAAGCTTGGGCCAGGGAGGAGATGTGTGTGAGGGTGAAGTTTTAGATCGGAGGCTGGGGAAGGCCCCGCAGGAGATGACGTTCTAGTAAAGGGGGAAGGCTGGTGAAGGATGAAGCCATGAGGAAGATACCTGGAGGAAGAGCATTGGCAGATACAGGGAATGGCAAAGGCAAATGCCCTGAGATGGGCGTTTGGCTGGTGTGTTCAAGGAGACGCCGAGAGGCCAGCGTGGGTGGAATGTAGTGAATCCGAGGAGAGTTTTAGGAGATGAGGCCAGAAAGGTGATGGGGGTCGTGTAGGACCTTGTCGGCCCTTGTAAGGACTTTGGGCTATTGAGATGGAGAGCCATTTGAAGTTTTTGAGCAGAAGAGTTGTGAAATCTAATTACGTATTAACAGGATCATATGGGCCGGCTCCGTGGCTTGGCGGTTAGGTGCGCGCGCTCTGATGCTGGCGGCCCGGGTTCGGATCCCGGGCGCGCCCCGAGGCACCACTTCTCCGTCCAACGCGAGACCGAGTCCCACGTACAGCAACTAGAAGGATGTGAACCTATGACATACGACTATCTGCTGGGGCTTTGGGGGGAAAAAAATGAATAAATAAAAGTCTTTAACAGGATCATAGAGGCTGCTGTGTTGAGAACAGACAGAAAGGCAGTAAGAGGTTAAACAGGAATAATTTATCTTCCTTTTGAGTCTATTTCTTTGTTTAAAGTAAGGCATATCTGTACTGTTGGGTTCAACCTCATTTAATAAGTATCATTTTTGGATTATCAATGTTTTATTTATGTAATGTAGGTATAAATGAATTCTTCATTATGCTAATTGATTTCTTTAATTTCCTTTTAAACAGAAATGTAATTGTCTTTACAGGTTCATTGGCACCTGCTTTGCTTTGTTCTGGTACATTTTTTCCTTAGCACATGTTGCAATCTTTGTCACAAGATTTAGCTACGGAGAAGAACTGCAGTCCTTTGTCGGAGCTGTCATTGTTGGGACGTACAATGTCGTGGTCGTGATTGTGCTCACCAAGCTGCTGGTGGCAATGCTTCATAAAAGCTTTCAGTTGATTGCAGTAAGTGTTAATTCTTTTAAAAACTTTATATTCTCTTCAGCTCATACCAATGTATGCAGTAGATAAGGCAACCAATGATTATAAGAATTAACAATTAGTATCATTTTAAAATTAAATATAGATTTTTTTATTGTAAGTAATATATATTAACAGCAAATCTTGAACCTAATTTTTGCCTACAAGGTGTGGAAACATTTGGACAGTTTAAAACTCTCCCCCGCCCCGTATGTGTGTGTGTGCGTGTGTATTCATATCCTTTTTTTTTTTTTTTTTTGTGAGGAAGATCAGCCCTGAGCTAACATCCATGCCAATCCTCCTCTTTTTGCTGAGGAAGACCGGCCCTGAGCTAACATCTATTGCCAATCCTCCTCCTTTTTTTCGCCTTTTTCTCCCCAAGGCCTCAGTAGATAGTTGTATGTCATAGTTGCACATCCTTCTAGTTGCTGTATGTGGGACGCAGCCTCAGCATGGCCAGACAAGCCGTGTGTTGGTGCGCGCCTGGGATCCGAACCCGGGCTGCCAGTAGTGGAGTGCGCGCACTTAACTGCTAAGCCACGGGGCCGGCCCCAACTCATATCTGTATTGCTTTTTGATTTGCCTCCTATAGAATCATGAAGACAAAGAATGGAAGTTTGCTCGAGCAAAGTTGTGGCTTAGCTACTTTGATGACAAATGTACATTACCCCCACCTTTCAACATCATTCCTTCACCAAAGACTATCTGCTATCTGATTAGTAGCCTCAGTAAATGGATTTGCTCACATACATCAAAAGGCAAGGTTAAACGGCAGAACAGTTTAAAGGTAAGAAATTAGAATTGCAGCATGGAAGTTTTAACAATTCCTAATCTCAGATGTTTCCTAAAGCATAAATTTGCAGGCTCCTTAAGGCCCGGGACTGTGACTGTTTTTCATTCCTGTATCCTTAATGCATGGCATAGTATCTAACATAAAGTAAGGATTCAGTAAATATTTATTGAGAATGAGAGAGCTGTGATTTTTTCATGAATCTCGTCTCACAGTTTTAAAACATGGAAAATATTCAGAATATCTATTCTGTCAGTATAAAGCTTGACTGCTAGAGTCAGCTCATTTTTCTGATTCTTCTTGAAAGTTATTCAGTACATGAATAATTCAATACATGTTGCTATAAACCAGAGGTTGGCAAACTTTTTCTGTAAAGGGACAGATAGTAAGTATTTTAGACTTTGCGGGCTGAGACGAAATCAAAGATATTATGTGAGAAGTAATATAACAAGAAAGGACACAAATTTTCACAAAACTTTTATTGATGAAGTTAAAAATGTAACAATAATTGAGTAATAATTTTTTTGTAATACAAGTCTATCAATTAAAAGAGTGAAATTCCATTTTTGGGGGGGGTAATAACATTTTGTTTAATTGGGATTCAAAATTAGGGGATAGGGGATTCCCTATCATCAAATTAATGACAAACGTTCATCTGTAAAAACCGTTCTTAGCTCACAGGCCATAAAAAACAGGAAGTGGCCATATTTGGCCTATGGCTCATACCTAGTTTGCTAATCTCCCCTGTAAACTGAGGATTCCTAAGACTATTTTTAAATCAATATAAGCATACAGGTGAATGAATAAAACAAATATGCAGGCTATATTTGTTTTAAACAAGTGTTGGATATTTTGTAACACACAGTGGCAAAAATACAGTCTAATAAAGCATTAAATGTGTTTATTTTTTTGTGAATATTTTTTTAAAACTACCTTGTTTAAATATTGTTTATGCACATTGTTAGTATCATGTGATTGTTTGTTTTGAAGGAATGGAGAAATTTGAAACAAAAGAGAGATGAAAACTACCAAAAAGTGATGTGCTGCTTGGTGCACCGTTACCTGACTTCCATGAGGCAGAAGATGCAAAGTACGGATCAGGCAACTGTGGAAAATCTGAATGAATTGCGCCAAGATCTGTCCAAATTCCGAAATGAAATAAGGGATTTACTTGGCTTTCGGACTTCTAAATATGCTATGTTTTATCCAAGAAATTAACCATTTTCTAAATTATGTAGAAAGTAGTTTTCAATAATAAATCTGAAAGACTGCATTTGCATAACTTACTATTAAATTAATAAGGTATATATTGAAATAAAGAATTGTGTAAAAGCCATTCTTTAAAATATTTGTAGCATAAATATATGTTATGTAAAATATGTAATATGGGATTAGTTTTTTAAAACCCTCTATTAGTGGCTTTTTGTGGGAGCAAAACAGATGAAATAGATTTTGTTAGCGTGCTGCTTGGTTTTCTTATTTGAACAGTGCTTTAACATTTTTTCTTTTTATGTTTAAGAAGGGCAGTTATAATTGTACACATTGCCAGAAGGTTTTGTAAAATGAAGATCGGCAAATGTGGGCTGATCTCCATCCATAGGATACATTTGAAATATGAAAGTCATGATTTTTAAAATCTCTGTTTTAAGAGTTCACATATAGTTCAGTATTTATTGTTTAGAAGTATAGTTTTATCTAAAATAATAGTCTATTTGTTCTTTTTTTATTTTGTTATAATATTAAGTAACAAAAAAAAACCCTAATGAATATTTGAATCTACTTATGTCTATAAATTTAAATTCACTTCAGTTTTTGTTTTGTAATATATTTACTTTTACATGGTTGTAATCACTTTATATTTTTAATTTTGCTTTTTTCACTTAATAGTATTTTATATATACGTTTTCATGTATTGATATAGTCATGTATTTAAATTTTTATAAAATTATACAGTTTCTGAAAAATATAGTTGGTCGACTTTTCATTTTGTGGCCATAGAGCGCTTGATTATATTTATTGGTTTGCACAGGTACTTCTCTAAGGTTAGGCGTTCAGTCGCTTTTAATTTTTTCTTGTCATAATAGTGCTATAATTTTTTTTCACGTTGGAGTGAATGGTCACAGTTACAAAGCTAACCCAGAATAAGGATTTAGAGGATACTTCTTTATCCTGTATGGTCATAGCCTGTTTTATTTTTGTAAACATTGGAAGACTCTTTAATGCAAGGATTTGTTTTATATTTAGACTAAGGTTCTTGAGCTTATCTCCCAAAGTATTTTCCACAGAATTTAACTTAGCTTCTGTAAAAGTGTCTTCATGCTGATTTCTGGATCATTCTTGCTGCTTAAGATGAAAAGCATTGTTGTTTTTAATTGGAGAATAAAATATGTATTTAAATTTTTTTTCCTGTGTTCATGTAAGAAATGTAGTTAAAAATTTTTCACAGGCCATTGCTTATATATTCTGTAGTACTTCCAGTTAAGAGGTTTTAGGTATATAATTATCTTCTTAACTGAATGTCAGGTGGTCTTACGGCCACAGGGTGCAGGTAGCCCTTGGTCTGTGAGCACCACCGATCCAGGGCTCATATGTTAGTATTGGGTTTCATGTTGCTTTTTACTTTTTATTTTTTAATTTCCAAATTGTAAGTGTTCCCTCTTTGGGGCAAATTCTTATAAAAATGTTTATTGTAAAATTATATATTTTGTCTACAATGGGATTATGCACTTCCCAATTGGGATTTTACATCAGGATTTTTAGTCATTCTAAAAAATACCTAATTATTAAATCAAAATATTTATAGAGTGCCTACTGTATGCATGAGTCACTTATGAAGTATATTTTGAATGACAGCATATTGTAAGAAAAAAGGTGAATAAAACTTGACATTAGATTACAGACTGAGAATGTGTCCATTGTATTATCATACACTTTTATACTTTTTAAAATTGAGATATAATTCATATATCATAATTTCACTCTTTTAAAGTGTACAATTCAGTGTTGTTGTTTTTTTTTTAAGTCATGGTAAGAAAGGCCTAAAATGCAAAACATCAACAATCAGACCCTTTTGTACCCCTTCCTACCTCCAGTGACAATCACATTTAACTCTTTTAGCTATTTCTTCTTAAATTTATAAGTACCATGTTTTGAAATAATATGTCCATACAAAGACCTGTATGTAATGTTTATAGTGGCTTTACTTAATGATCCCAAACTGAAAACAAGCAAATGTTCATCAACTGGTGAATGGATAAAGAAATTGTACATCCATACAATGGAAATCTACTCAGCAATAGAAAGGAATTGTATCAGTCAGAGTTCAGTCAGAGAAGCGGAGCTACTAGGATATTTGCAGGCCCCACATGCTTGTTTGCATAGTGATTTGTTTACAGGGATTCGATGTTACGAAATTGGAGTTGATTAAAGAGTTTCCGTGAGGCTGTTGTTTTGCATCTACTGCTGGAGCTTGGAGTTCACACGGTAGGCAGTTGGGAAGGGAAGACAGATGTAAAGTGGAAGAAACAAAGACAAGCTGGAACCCATGAAGACAGACTGAGACCCATGTCACTTCTCACTGTCCGTAACGTTGATGATGTGAGTATTCTCATCATCGGAGAAGTCGTGGGAAAAGTTGCCCTTTGCCACGTTGCTCAACACACACTTGGCCCAGGAATCAGAGAAGCTGAAGGAGGATCCAAGGAAAGGTGGAACAATTGTGGGCCAGACTGCTGCCTCACACCAACAAGTTGAGCCAGAAGATAAGTTACAACATGTGTGAGCTACAAAAGTGCCTGCATAAGGGAAAAAATGGCTGCGACTTCCCTTCTCCCCTCCAAGTGTCACTCTAAAATGTGTCTTGTGGCCCAGCCTAACTGGAAAGCATACAAGGAACAGAATTCTGGGAAACATACTTCAGCCTAGCCAAGTTGGTACAGGAAGAAACTACTGAAATATGCAATAACATAGATGAATCTTAAAAGTATTATGCTAAGTGAGGAAGCTCGTCATACACACTGTGTAAGTCCATTTATATGACATTCTAGAAAAGATAAAACTATAGAAACTGAAAACAGATCTTTGGTTATGAGGGTCTGGTGGGAGGAGAAGATTGATTGGACGACTCATCAAACTGTACAGTTAAGAAGGGTGAATTTTTAGGGCTGGCCCAGTGGCGTAGCAGTTGAGTTCTCGCATTCCGCTTCGGCTGCCCAGGGTTTCCTTGTTTGGATCCTGGGCACGCACCTCCTCACCTCTCATCAAGCCATGCTGAGGTGGCGTCCTGTTTAGAAGAGCCACAACTCTACAACTATGATATACAACCATGTATTGGGGCTTTGGGGAGAAAAAAAGAAAAAGAAAAAGAGGAAGATTGGCAACAGATGTTGGAATTTTTATTGGAATTGCATTGAAATTGAAATTAATGTTTTCCTCAGAAAATACACTTATAAAATACCAAATAGGCTGAGGTTATAGGCCCTGGGGAGTAAACCACTTGGGTCTCATTATTCAGAATTACACTAAGAAAATATTAATGGTACCAAAGATAATGTCTGCTCTGAATTTCTCATTTGTAAGTTAATTTGTTAGCTTTCTGGCATCACTGCTCCGTTACACGTTGTGTTTCTGGAAGATATACTTAGAAGAATTGCCAGTTACAGGGTTTCTTTTCATTTGATAATTTCATATTGTTTTTTATTTTCTTGTTCCCCCTACCCCCAGTTTGAAATAAATACTTCAAATATGCAACTCAAAATTAGTGAGGAAAAACTTCATGTACTAATCACATGCTTTAAAAATAACTATCTTTAGGAGACATGATTTCTGATGTAAATTAAATTACAGGAATACAAGAGGCAAAACAGCAGGTTTATGTAGGAGGTAAATGTGTTTAAAAAAAGAACTGTTTTAGCCAATCAGATAAATGACAGGTAAACTCCATTTTCTTCATCCTGCTACCAGCAATCTAGAGGTTTCTCTGTGTCTCTTCATTAGAAAGGATACTTAATCCATCCTTCAATTTTAAGCGAAATTATTCTTATTGAAAGATATTAAAATTATCAGGTGCTATTAGAAAAGAATTTTGAGGAGGAAAATATACTAAGCCACCTCAGTAACTAATCCAGAAATTGAATTAATTCTGTGAGGTAATTTTAAAATATTTTAAAACTCATTTGCTCCATTTTATATTTCGGGGGAAATAGCAAACAATCACAATATTGTTACAGATTGTGTTTGTAAGGATTGTTGTAATGCAGAAGTTTTCTTTTTTAAAAACTATAAAACTAGGTGGAAACAGTTCTCTTATTTTCCTCTGATCCTCAGCGAAAGTACAGTGCTGATGTTGAATGGCCCAAATTTGTTGAATGAACACTTAGCCATTATCTCTTTGTGTAAACATCCTAGGACTGACATCCAGTCAGATACCCATCTAACTGCGCGCTCTAAAACCTGTTTCACCAAATTGGATTGGAAGAAAACTTACATCACCCACTTCAACCCTCTCATTTTATAGGTGAGAAAACCGACAATTTAAGTAATTTGTCCAAGGTTGTATAATGGCTGACTTGAGATCCTGAACTCAATTTATTGTTAGTATCAGGCAAGATACACCCAAAAGCTTTGCTTTTTTGCATTAATTTCTCATTATAGGTTCATCTTGGTTAGAGAACAGAACTTAAGATGTCTAGTCCCTGCTTTCCTAAATGACTGGTTTATTAAAGACTTGTAATATATGACCAAGGACAGAAACAGAGACCAGTGAGATGAGCAAGAGTTAAAGGGAAAGGATGGACAGTGAGGTAGTAACATCAGTAGAAAAGCAGTAGTCTGTCTCAAAAAATAACAAGCCAGGCCATGGAGGGATCAAGGGTTTAGAATGGAGAAACTGGTTAATTTTATTTTTACGCCACTTGATATCCTGATCAATTTGGTTATTCAAGGATCTAGAAACAATTTAAGACCTGTAAGGATCTCAGAAAGGATTCAATTTAACTTTCTCATTTTACAGATAACTAAAGTTCTCCCCAAGCTACACTGCGAAGGAGACTCCACGTCCTTCTCCTCCTTGTCCAGGAGGCTCTGAATTACATCATGTCACTGTTATTTCTTGTTTGTGAGATAAATTAATCAGCTGTATGAAGTCTTACTGTAAGTTTGTAAATTTTCTTAATAGATTTCTATACCTAAAAGCTCCCATCTCACTGTTGAAATCTAACCTAATCTTGGTATCAGAAGGCCACAGAGACATCCTTCAAGCAGATGATAACGTTTCAAATTTATATCTAGTCAAATTCTAAATCTAACCATTAACTTTGTTTTTAAGAGGAGGAAGCAAATTACAAAAACAAAGTAAATGTTAGGATTTTAAACAATAACTTGAAAATTCTTCAGAACAAATTTCTTTGTGCATATGTCCCAGAGCTACTGTCTGACCACCCAATTCTGTACCTCCATGTGCACTCCCACACTTGTACATCCACAGATCCTTTGTTAAAAAGAGGCTTTTGGTATGTGAATAATGACCCTCACCTATTTAATTCAAGACGATTAATCATAAAAGATAAAATAATGTTCAATATTTTGTCCTTGGGCTAGGGCTCATACATACATCTAAGGGACAAATTTGTGAATCTCCATTAATGCTAATCACTTATCTGCAGGTTACTTTGGGTTTTCTATTTGGATAATTATGTTATCTTCACATTATAGTAGTCTTATTTCTTCTTGTCCAATATCATTTATTTCTTTTTCTTGCCTTACTACACTGACTAGACCCTCCAGTACTATTTTCATAGAAATGTGGATTTCAGGCATTCTTGTCTTATTGCTGATCTTAAAGAAAATGCTTTCACTATTTTGCCATTAAGTGTGAGATTTGCTGCAGCTTTTCTCGTCAGCTTAAGGAAGTTCCCTTCTATTCATAGTTTGCTTAGGGTTTATGTTGTCACGAATAAATGTTGAACTATATCAAATGCTTTTCTGCATTATTAAGATCAAATGATTTTTCTCCTTTAATCTATTGTGAATAGAGCTTAACAGATCATTTCCCCATTCTGTTAAGAGTTAACCTTTGTTTAACTCCAGCTTAGTTTACCTAGTAATCTGAGAATACAGTATGTCAACTATGTTGCTAGGCAAGCTTGCTTATGGGAAAAATGAACCCTGATTGGTAAATTGCATTGGAATAGGAGGAACTGTAATTGAGCTATAAATACCTGAGAGGGGAGGCAGAACTGGGTTTTCCTGAGTGTGTAACTCCTATCACTAGGCGTATCATCTATGAGGCGTCTGGAAGCTTTGCCTGTGGAGTTGTTACAGGAGATACTGGCTTCTATGGAGACGCGAGCTTTAAGCCGGCGTGTCTGCAACTACCTGACATGAATCTTGTCTCCTGGCATCTGAGTCATCATCTAGAGAGGCCAGAGAAAATAGCTCATGGATGGCTGTGTGAACTGTTGCCAGACTGCTGCAAAGACTCCCACAGAAGATCAAAGTCTGACACGGTCCTGTTAAGCTCTGGTCCCTGTGCTTTATCCTTCCGAGGGTATCGGTCCCAAGAGAGGCCTGTGATTTTTCTTGAGCCTGAATGTTTAGTTGCACCGAAGACTCTCGGTTGGCATTGCAGGTCTATTAATGCAATGAAATATGATCGCTGATTTTCTAATATTAAATCAATCATACGTTTCTGGGGTAAAACCAACTTGATCATGACCTATTTTGTTTGCTGGACTTTGTTTGATAATATTTTGTTTAGAGTTTTTGCACCTAGGGTCATAAGTGAAGTCAGGTTGTGTTTTTCCTAGATCCTACCATCTGGTAAAATTTTGGTATTAAGATTATATTAATCTCATAAAAAGAATTGCTGACTATTACGTATCTATTTATACTCTGTAGTTTATGTTAGATTGGTATTTGTCCCGTAGATGTTTGGTAGACCTTCCAAGTAAAACTATCTGGGCCTGGAGTTTTACTTAAGAAAGATCTTTAATTACTGATTTAATTTCTTTAATGATTATAGGACTACTTAGCTATTCTATTTCTACTTGAGTCTGAGTTGATAAATCCCTCTCCCCTTAGAAATTTGTCCATGTCATCTAAGTTTTCAAATCTATTGACATAAAGTGGTTCACAATATCCTCTTATTACTTTTTATTTTTTTTGTGTGTGAGGAAGATCAGCCCTGAGCTAACATCCATGCTAATCCTCCTCTTTTTGCTGAGGAAGACCAGCTCTGAGCTAACATCTATTGCCAATCCTCCTCCTTCCCCCCCCCCCAAAGCCCCAGTAGATAGTTGTACGTCATAGTTGCACGTCCTTCTAGTTGCTGTATGTGGGACGCGGCCTCAGCATGGCCGGAGAAGCGGTGCCTCGGTGTGCGACCGGGATCCGAACCCAGGCCGCCAGTAGCGGAGCGTGCGCACTTAACCGCTAAGCCACAGGGCCGGCCCCTCTTATTACTTTTTTAGATTCTGTAACATCTGTAGTAAGGTCCCCTTTTCACTCTTAAATTGTTTTCTTGTCCTTTTTTACTTCTTTTCTTGCTTAATCTTGGTCGCAGTTCTGTCATTTATAGTAATCATCTTAGAGAACCAATATTTGGCTTTGTTAATTTTCTCTATGATTACTATTTTACTCAATTTCTGCTCTTATGTTTATTTCCTCCTACCTTTTAAAATTTATTCTGTTTTTCTTTTACTAACTTCCTAATATGTATCACTCAAAAATTATTTTTCACCCTTTCTTTTATAACATAAACATCAAAGTTTATAAATTTTAAAGTGCTGTTTAAGCTGCATTCCACACATTTTAAAATTCACCATTTCTATTATTGTTCAGTTTTTAGTATTTTCTATTTTCCATTACAATTTCCTTTTGATCATAAATTATTTAAAAGCACATTTCTCAATTTCCAACATCAGGTTTTTTCTTATCTTTTTTACTATGTTTTACTTTTTGTTATTAATTTCTAATCATTCATTGTTGTTGGAGAAGGATGTCTGTACGATACCAGTTCTTTGAAATTTGCTGGAATTTGTTTCATGGTGCAGTAAGTAAGCAAGTTTTGAAAATGTTCCATACCGATTAAAAATGTGTTTTTGGTTCTGTTCTATATATGTCGATCAGGTAAATCTAGTTAACTGTGTGGTTCAAATCTTTTATATCTTTATCTCCCACTATGATGATAAACTTGTCAATTTCCATTTATACTATGCCAGATTTAGTTATATATTTTGAAGGATATTATTAGTTGCATGCAAATTTTAGAATTGTTATATATTCTTGTAACCCTCTTTATCGTGAGTAATGCCTTAAAATCTATTTTTTTCTAATATTAATAAACCCACATCTGTTTTGTTTTGGTTAATATTTGCCTGGTATATTTATCTTTTTCTATCCCTTTCCTCTCAATTTTTCTGTGCCCTTATGTTTTGCATGTCTCTTTCAAATAGCATATAGTTGTAATTTGTGGGGTTTTTGTGTGTGTGCGTGAGGAAGAGTAGCCCTGAGCTAACATCTGTTGCCAATCTTCCTCTTTTTGCATGGCTTGGTAAGTGGTGCGTAGGTCCGTGCCCGAGATCCGAACCTGTGAACCCCAAACCCCCCGTAGCAGAGTTTGTGAACTTAACCACTACACCACCTGGCCAGCCCCTGGAATTTGTTTTTCTAATCCAGTCTGACAATCTTTGACTTTTAACTCAAATATTTAGTCTGGTTATGATATCGAAATTATTGATATATTTGTATTTCTACCATCATATCTTGTACTATTTTCCCTTATTTCACTTTTGTTTTTTGTGAGATCAGCCCTGTGCTAACATCTGCCAAGCCTCCTCTTTTCTTGCTGAGGAAGACTGGCCCTGGGCTAACATCCGTGCCCATCTTCCTCCACTTTATATGGGACGCCGCCACAGCATGGCCTGCCAATCAGTGTGTCGGTGCGCGCCCGGGATCTGAACCTGCGAACCCCTGGCTGCCACAGTGGAGCTCGAAGCACACTTAACCGCTTGCGCCACCGGGCCGGCCCCTATTTCACTTTCTTTAATTTCTTGTCTTTATTTTTCTCTGCTAGTTCTAAATTTTCAAATTCTATATTCTTTTATGGTTACCCTAGATATTTTAATGTAAATATTTAAGTTATCAAAGTCCTAAATTAACCAATATTTTTATCCTTCTCTTGCTCAATATAAATGCCTTAGAACACTTAGGCCAAACTTTTTTTTTTAAATGTTTGTTTTCTACTTGAATTTACTTTTTTGCAAATTTGTTTGCACTTATATAAATATGTCCAGGAATTCAAGCAAAAAGAGTTTCTGGTTAATACTACTTAACCCTCATTAGAGCTTCCTGATTAGCAGTTGTTTTATTATAGGGCTTTTCTTTAAAGAAGAATTTTTATCATTCGTTTACTTCATTTCAATATTCCAGAAGGTATAACGGGAGCCTGGCAGCACTTTCCTACAGGAAGGAAAAAAGAAAGTAAATTTCTTCCAACTAAGGTTAACCTTCAAGTAAGTAATTAACAGAATTTAAGATCTGGGAACTTTGCAAGATTCTTATATTTTTGTTATAGGAGTTGAATCGAATTCAAAGGATGAAAATTAAGCTAGTGGGACCCTCTGAAACACATCTGAGTCTGGTTTATAATTCTGAAATGTTTCGTAATGTCTTAGTATGGTCACTCATTTGCTCGTCATGTGTATTTGATTCCCCAAGTACAAATACCTAAAAACAAAAACAAAACTTTATCAATTATCTTTAAAAAGAAATAAAATTTGAAAAAGAAATAATTCCTAAAAGAGAAAATAGTATGGGACTCCAGAAGTTATTTAGTCTAACTCCTTCAATTTATAACTAAGGAAACTGAAGTTCACTCAAAATGAATGATTTAATAAACAAGAAAGAAATTAAGGAATGGTTGTTGGACCAGAAAGAGCAGCATCACTGCTCAGCTTATCTGTTTTGAATAATTGAATTAAAAGACAAATCAGCGTCATACGTTATTAACCACTAATCCCCTAACCAGTCGCAAGTCTTGTGTCAGGATGTCAGTGGTACAAATAGTTTGGATGATTTTTCCCAATTTTTACCTCACTATGACTCAAGTCCCCACTCAGAAATCTGTGGAAGTCTTTCCACTGGTAATGCAGGGGGCTGACAGCTGCAAGCATGCTGCCTGTAATGCACCAATAAGAAGTTCTATCAAAAGGGAAGAAATAGTGAAATCTTTAGTAATCACTCCCAAGTCCCACAATATGCATTCTTGAAAGTAACTAACTTACCTCCAGAAGGTTGGAATCAATCAGGATTCCAGTTACCCCTTGGCTGGACGCAGCTGCTCCGTGAAGTCCAGCTGGTTGAGAGAGCCTTTAGAAAAGGTGGTTCTGGCCAGTGAAGACAACCACGGGGTCCTCTAGTTCATTTCCTGAGCTGGTGAATTCTCTGCTACTGATGGGCATCCCAGAGGGACAGTTTAGGACTGATTCCCAACCCTGCCAGCCAGCCCACATCCACTGCTTCCTTATACTCACTCAGCTGCCAACACAGAGATTCTTCCTTTTGAACTTCCATGGTGCTGCCCCTTAAATGTCTGGTCACCTCTAGGGCTGAGAATTATTGTTATTACCACAAGAATATTTTCCCCTATTTCTAAAACATTGTTTTTACTAGGGGAGACCTTGTGACCCAAGTGTTTGTTCATTCCTGATTTTCCTTCTACCTTCTTCAGATAGAGACCGCTGTCCCTTCTCCCACAGCTTCTGGGTGGCAACCTCCCGGCGGGCTGCTTGCCACACCCATTGCAAGTCCAGCTGCATTCCAAGCAGCTCTGTGCAAATGAAGGGAGTCCTTCCACAGTTTTTCCTCTACTGAGTGAAAAAGGCAATGACAGAATGCATCCTAGCTGATTGATTCTGCCTGGTCCAGTTAACGGGATGAACAGGAGACGGGCATCAGGCTCACCTCTAATTTCAAGTCCTTTAAAATGACCAATTATGGTTTAGGCTAGGAAAACAACGACTGAACTCTGCAAGTCAGGATAAGAGGGCTTTCCCCTGGGGCAGAGAGGGCCCTTTCTTTTGGTTTGGAACGGGGACTTCTGAGCTTGGTTGCCTGCTCTGTCTCTTGGGAGATGTGTGCTCTGGACAAATCACTAAATATACCTGAGTTTCAACTTCTATTAGAAAAGGAAGGAGTTGCACTAGGTCCCTGAGGGATCCCATTCTAGCTCTAACATTCCCTGGTTCTGCAGAGAATTATAGTATATTTACATCACTGGATCCATCTAGTCCCTGAAATTCTTGGACTGCTAACTTTTTTAGCCAAGTGTAAACTGATACAAAGACAACCTTGTATGTAAATAACAGGGAATATTCTTTTTTTCGGTTGTCTCAGTTTCTATAAAAACAAGTTTAATGGCTATTAGATAATCATTTAAAAATACTTTATTAAGCATTGATTTAAAAAATGCAAGAGAAGAATATAACACCTCGGAGCGAATGCTTGAAGGTAAAACAAATATCACTATAAATATTGCACTTATAAAATCTCTTTTTTACATCTTCACACAACTCATTTCTAAAATATCCTTTTACAGAGATGTATAAATAAACTGCTTCCAAACTGTCAACGCTTGATACACTCAGTTTCCTATCACCACACTAAACCTGCAGGTTTTCGATCAGATATCTGCTCCTCTCGGTGCAGGCACAGAACTTCCACCAGCGACATCGGAGGTCTCATACCTGCATCATGTGAAGAGTAAATCTTTCTGAATGCTCAATATTTAATTTTATAAGATTTTTTTTATACTGAGAAAAAAATAGATCTCTCAAAGGCAATGAGAATGCAGCTTAGATTGACACAGTTCACTGTTAACATTGCTTGTTTTCCAAGGCATTCAGGAGCTTCTGGTTCTTGGTCTTGAACATCATGATAAAGCTGTTTGGCATGATTTTGCCTTGCCCATCTTCACCCACTTGGCCCATAATAATGTAATTTAGACCTAAAGAAAGAGAATACAAAATTAATTTTTTTCTCTATGTGTGTTGGTTTGAAACAACTGAGACTATAACTTACCTCTAGATAAATGTTCTATAAATGATATAATTATACACTTATTCTATCTAGGATAAAATCTGGTTTAAGACTCTCATCAGCAAAAAACGAAGTTCAACTGAGTAATATGTTCCAGCTGTGCTAACACTAGGAAACTGGACGGAAGGATTAGATCCAGTCACGTCCTGCTCTGCCGTGCTGTGTGTCTGGTGTATTCACTGTCTACTACGAACGACGCACAGTGTCCATGTGAGAGGCCTCCAGTGCTCCCTGACATGCCATCCTCAGATGGCTTCTCACAGTCCCGGAATGCCTCTGGACTTCCCAGGCATCTGGCAACTAATGATCCACTCTCTTCTGTTGCTGTCTTGAACTTTTTTCAACATCTCAAGCATTTATACTATGGAAGTTTCTTGACGGCATGACTGGATCATACACTTTTTTGCATTTTTATAGTCCCTTACAAAAATAGGTACTGAAAAGTACTTATATCCAATATACTATTTTTTTTATATATCAGTGTGTTTGGCTAAGTTAGGCCCAGACAGGGGCCTAAGCTGAGGTATGTTGGGTCAACTTGGAAGATTTATATTGCCTCGGAAAAATGTTATAAAGGAAGTGTGTATTACCACCTCCTTTATTCTCCCTCTGCCCTTGTGTGTCATAAGAGAAATATGTGTTTCCTTTTTCTCTTGCATAATCCTTCCTCTGTGGGCTAACACTGTCATCATAGTGGTGTTGAGCCTGTGGCCGCGCTGTAGGCTGGGCTGGCGGCCACCATCTCAAGGCTGGACTGCTGGCTTCATTATGAGACCTTACAGCAAGTACCTAGATGTGCATTACTTGCTGTTCCTGGCAGTTCTGGAAAGAAGTGTTTATCTTTTACAGAGCCTTTGCTATTCCCTCTGAGAGTCAGCACGAGGCTGCTGATCTCATGACTTTTCTGAATAATCTAAATTCACAGCAAAGCTTTCGTGAAGACGATATTTCTCTCTCTGCGTGTGTGGTATGGTTTGGTTTAGTTATGGAAGAGGTGTGTAACAAGACCGAGGAAAGGAATGAGCTGAGATTGGCTAGAGAAATCATGATATATCACACAGTGGAATACCAGGCATTATTCTCATTCCAAAGAAACAGTGAGATCTATCTATATGTGCTGTTTATGGGAAGATGTCTACATATACCTCGTGTGGGGGAAAAGTTGCAGTAGAACATGTATAGCATGATCCCATCTAAGTGCGTATGTGTATGCTTTACACGCATAGAACTTTCTGGAAGGAACTTTTAACAGTACCTTTGGGGAAAGGGAAAGGGCCTCACTTTTTATTTTATAACTTTCTCTACTTATTTAAGCTTTTTAAAAACCATGGAACATACATTACTTTTATAAGTTAAAGAACATTTTTTAAAAAAAAGTCATGTGCCTCTGGCTCTGGAGTAACTTTCCTTTTCCCATAATTTCTCTGAATGAACTCATTCCTGTCTATGGATTTAATGATCCTATATCTGCAAATGATTCCCAAATATTTAATTCTAGCCCACATATACATCTCTCTTCTGAACTTCAGCTCTGAGTTTCCTGTTGCTTGCTGGATGTTTTCCTCTAAACATTGTATTGGCAACTTAAATACAATAACTGAAAATCTCTTTCTCCAGACTGCTCCTTTTATGTCTATTCCCTGCTGATCCAACTTTCAAATGTTCTTGGACTCATTCATCATTTCCACTACCTCTTTTTCTTCGACAAATGACAAGAACTGGGATTAGAGCCCAATTCTGCCTGACTCCAAAGGCTTCCCTTCCATACCAGAAGTGGGCAATACATTAGCCCTGAATGTACTTCTCTAGACCAGCCATGGCACGGAAAGATCCATGACTTGCTCAGAGAGGCTCTCTTGTTCCCTTCTCTGTCGCCACGCTCCCGTAGAAGAAAGAGCCAAGTTTCCCCCCTTACTCACCTCTTCTGAGCAGAGGGCACTGCTTGCACACCACGATGACCCTGGCACTCATGTTCTTGCCGGCCTGCTGAATTGCCAGATTGCCCTCTTTATAGATGTTGATGATTGAGACTGTGGCATGCAAACTCCCACCTCGAGTGATGGTTGTGATAACAGTGCCAGCCAACACTGCGGAAGAAAACATTTTTGAAATAATGTGACAGTTAAGGGAAATGTAAGCAGAACTGAAAATAATTTTATATTCTTCTAAGTTTCAGATGGAAAACATTTTAATGTTAAAGAGAAGACCCTAATAGAGCTATTCTGTACACGTCACCAAAATTCAGGTTGACAAAAGGGGCCACGGAGCTGTAACGTTACTGAGGTTGATACCTAGAAGAGAAACCTGGTTTGAGCTACGGAGATCTGAGTCTTTGCAACTGTGCGGGTGAGCATCTACCTTTCTGTGTCTCTCTCCGCATCCCTATCTTTAGCTGTCCTCTTTCCTTGAACTTTGGTTCATCCCAAAGGTCCTTATTTCTCTGCAATTATCAGTAAATATCTGTCTTTTTCTGGGTCTTTCCTATTCTCTTTCTTATCCACTCTGTTTATCTTATTTAACAAGTCAAAGTATGGAACTGAAGGTATAACTTAAAACATTTTCTTGCTTTAAAAAAATCTCTAGCAAAAATAAGTTGCTTTTCATTATGTAACTCTTTTTTCCATTGTGACATTCAGAGAAAAGAGCCTCACTTCTGAGCCACAGAATGAAAGATGCTGTGTTTTTCAAAGATGTACTTCTGGCATTTTGGGGGCACAATTCTGAGTGGTGCAGGACTTGCACTGAATGACTTTTTTTTTTTTTTTGTGAGGAGGATCGGCCCTGAGCTAACATCCAACGCCAATCCTCCTCTTTTTTCTTGAGGAATACTGGCCCTGGGCTAACATCCGTGCCCATCTTCCTCTACTTTATGTGGGACGCCGCCATGGCATGGCTTGACAAGTGGTGTGTCCGTGTGCACCCGGGATCCGAACCTGCGAACACTCAGACTGCCGAAGCGGAGCACGTGCACTTAACTGCTGCGCCACCGGGCCTGGCCCCATGAATGACTTTTTTATGAGCCCTGTCCCTGCCCAGAAAAACCAGTAGCCCTCCTCAACTAGTGACAACCAAAAGCTGTCCCTAGAGGAGTGTTACCAACCCTGGTAGAGAACCAATGGGCCACTGGTGATAGTAATTGGTCATCTTGCCACAGAAGTGAGTCACAGTGGAATAAATCAAGGTTTGGACTTGGCTGATATGACCCTTTCAGGATAGAGTGAGAACTCACTGCTTATGTAGTATGCAAAGCTGATAAAATCAGAATTCTTATCATGCCTTACTTTGACTCCTGGGGATGAGTGCTCACTGCAAAATGTCGGTCTGGAGCCAAGTGAAATCAGTGGCTCCCCAGGACGGGGAGGGAGATTTCCCTAAGCACCTCCCACAGAAGACTAGACTGGATGTGGTGTCAATGACAGCTGGTGCTGTTTGTTTTCATGTTTATGCCAGTTATTTGAATTCCGCCTGCAAGCTCCACTAAGATGTAGGGCCCCACAGTCTTCGGTGCCTCCACTACAACACAGTTCGTTTGGGCTGCAGACGGCTACCACTTTAAGCTGTAGGAAAAGCAAGCAGCCTCTTCTGGGAGGCCCTTTGTTTTGGGAAACTATTTAGGCTGTAGCAACTTTTGCTTCCTGATAAGATTTCTTAAACGTTCCTTTTAAAAATAATGAACATAATTAAATTTGGTACCTTTTGCTCTTCAGTGGTTTTCACAGCAAGTGCAATTTTTTAATTTGGGAAAAACTCCTAGAAATTCCAAGTCATTAGGTAGTATCTCCTCAGGTCCAATTTATAAGAGTTTCCAAAAGGATTTCAGATTTCCAAGTTTAGAAGGACACTACAGAGGAAATACCTGAATTTCTTCTCAGAGAGGCCATCTTGGGTATGTTTTTAATTAAGTTGAATTACAGATATGTGAAAAAATACTCAGCACATGAGAAATATCTGAGAAAAAAGCATACAGGTTTTTTCAGGAACACTGAACCAGCCAGAACATACAGAGGAGCAGTATCAGGTACCAGGAGTCAAATTATTAAGTTTATGTGAACAGTATATTTTCTGAGTAAAAAAATACATATTTTTCTTAGTTGTGAAAGCACAAGTCAGCACACCTTAGTCTGTAGGAAAATATTTTCCCGGGTAAATGAAGAGTGCTACTGAACCTTCACCATCACATTCATGGCAATTCCTCTGACATTAAGCATGCGGTCTCAAGTTTCCCATTAAAGAGAAAAGGCTGGGTTTTCTTTCTTACCGAAGTTACTTGAACAATAATTGCTCTCCAGAGTCCCCGTCCGTCTACACTTTTGTTGACACAGGGCCACGGTGGGCTTTAAATCTTAATTCAAAGAAGAAAGATGTAAGAGTCAGGGAAATGAATTCAGTATAACTGATGTTTAGATCTGAATATACCAATTTTAAGTTCCCATTTATTTCCCTGAGCCACCAATCTGTCACTGCAATGAAATAATTAAAAAGCAAGCAAAAGAAATTCTTCATGCTGCCAACCGCTGCTCTATTTTACTCAGGGCAACTCAATATCCTCTGCTGAATTTTAGAGCTGAGATGAACGATAACCTAAATTTAGCCCTATTCTCCTCTTCTTTTATATATAAATAACACTCTAACCCAAAATAGATATAGCCTCCATGTGCCCTGCTTAGAAAAACCCAGTAGAGCAGATGTGAACTCAGAAAATATAGGTTAATTCTTCATTTTACAAAAAGAATCCTCTGGTGCTCCCCCTGAGGATGGAGGGAGTTTTCTTGGTGCATTTAAAATATGCAATTGCCCAAATGTGAGTGGGACAGGTTTTTAGAAACACTGCTCACATGTAATGTGTGTTACATCTGTAATTAGATGCAACTAATCACTAAATATTTATTTTGAGCCTGTCATTGGCTACAAGCATTTTAAAAACTGAGAAGTAGACAAATTTATATGTAAAACTAAACAGATAAACACAGCGGTTCTCAACACGGGTGATTTTGCCCCGTTGGCGACATTTGGTAATGTATGGAAATTTTTTTTGGTTGTCACCACTAGGGGGCGCTACGGCATCCAGTGGGTAGAGGCCGCGGATGCCGCTAACCATCCTTCAATGAACATGATAGCCCCACAACAAAGAATTATCTGGCCCAAAATGTAAATAGTGCCAGGTTGAGAAACCCTAGGTTAACAAAATGAAAATATTTAATCCCCATTATCTCATTAAAACTGTTTAAAAAATATTTGCTAATTATTCACTTATATGTGGCAATATGGTAGGAAGAATGAAACAACACAACAGTACCAGAACTGACTGTACTTGCTGGGTAGGAATTTGCAATTGTAGCATTGCTCTTCTAATATGTTCTGCTGACTCTGCTGTGAATTTATTTATTTACTCTTAATTTGTACCCCTACTTAACTCCAAAAAGGATCCTCAGTGGATTACAATATTAAAATATATGCAATTTAACGTTAAAATACATATAATAGCTTAAATATATATTTTTTTAAAAAAGAGAGATTAGAAAACATTTAGAGGAAACATTGTTCCAGAACTTGGGGACCTCACTTTGGCACTAAATTTACCTAATTGACTGAGTCAAAAAGTAACGGTGTAGGCGGGTCTCTCTGTCTGATGCAAGAGCATCCTTTTATGTGGACCACTGCAAACCAGCTCCTGGTCAGCCTCAGAAGGTCAGTCTGGAAGTCGGGTGCATGTCCTACATGGCTCCTTCTCTCCCTTGGGTAGATCTCTTTCACCTTTAAGTCATCACTATCCCACCCTAACCCTCCTCATCTTACCGTCATCTATCTACTGCGCTGCACTCCCAATGTGGCACCTGGTTTGCAGCCTTCCTCCTTAATTTTATTTATTTATTTTTCCCCCAAAGCCCCAGTAGATAGTTGTATGTCATAGTTGCACATCCCCCTAGTTGCTGTACGTGGGATGCGGCCTCAGCATGGCCGGAGAAGAGGTGCATCGGTGCGCGCCCGGGATCCGAACCCGGGCAGCCAGTAGTGGAGCGCCTGCACTTAACCGCTAAGCCGCGGGGCCGGCCCCTGCAGCCTTCCTCCTTATGCGCTCCTGCAACCCTCTTGGTGGGTCCACCCTCCTGGTGGATGATCCTTCTCAGTGCCGTGGCCCCATCCTCCCCAGGGACTTTCCCTCTGCTCCATCTAGTCACTCAGTCCCAGGCTCACAGGTCCTCCTGCTAAAGTCTTTCATCGCCAATCTCTCAAATTTAGACATCCTACTATCCGGAATAGCCTCCTCTCCAACAAGCTTATTTATTCATTTACTGCCGTGACTTTTTCTTCCTGTCTCTAGAAGTTCAACACAGTGACCTCTCTCATTGTCCCCAATCCATCAACCCTGCCTCGTCTTGACATCCTTAGCTACTCCACTTACTTTCCATGGTTCACTATTTCAGTCATTTTCTTGACAATACCTTCAACTCCCTTTCCCCTCTGTGCTTCGGCCCTGTACGAATCCTGTAGGAGCCTGTTTTTTCTCTGCCTGCCCTCAGACAGCCGAGCGCACAAATGGACCCTCATCAAAGTGACAAGCTCTTTAGTGGATCAACTCACTCCAATTTCCACAGCTGCTTTTCAAATTTTTTGCCATTCTCCTAAACCCCCAGTGCTGCCACCTCCCTCTCATTCTCAGCAGGTGACTTTGCCCATTTTCTAGAGAGAACAGAGATCATAGAAGAGAATGAACTCAAGAGCCCCCCCAAGCCTCCCAGTTGTCTTTATTTGTACCCTCTCTCCTCCCCCTGCCCCCGCCTTGGGAGAGGAGGCGCTCCACCTCTGGTCTAACGTCTATCCTTCTGTGAGTCCTCTGGAGGCCATACCCTCCCACCTTTGTAGAAATTTCCTCCTCAGTTCATCCCTTCTGTCTGCCATTATGTTCCCCTTCTTGCTGGCTACCTTCCATCAGCATTAACATGTTCAAGACTCTCAAGGCTTCTCTCCTTCCTTTAGAGCCAAACTTGTGGAACTAGTTGCTGGAACTTACTGTCTCAGTTTCTCTGCCTTGTTCCACATGCCCCTCAGCCCACTCTGCCGGGCTTCTGCCTGCACAACTCCACTCACACAACTCTTGCCAGGGTCTCTAGGAGCCTCCATGTCATGAAATCAAATGGAAACATTTTAGTCCTTCCCCTATTTGAAGTCTCATCAATACTTGGCTCTACTGACCACTCCCTCCTTAAAACACTCTTTTCCATGACACATGCTCCTGGTTTTCCTCTCTCCTTCTTAGCCAGCATATCCCCCTCTTTAAAAAGTTAGAGTTTCTAGGGAGTTAATTCCAGCCCTTCTCCTTTGACCTCTAACCTCTCCCTAGGCAATGTCATTCTAGACCATGGTATCGACCATGTATATGTTGATGACTCTCAAATTTAAATCTCTTGTTTAAATCTCTCTTTTGGTCTGGAGGCCCAGAGATCTAACTGTCCACATGACATCTCCACTTGAGTGTCTCGCAGACACCTCAAACCCAACAAGGTCACACACAGCTTGACTTATGAATCTACCCCTAAACCCAGTTCTCTACTTCCGTTCTCCCTGAGTTGTGCAAGCCAGGGCCCTGGGAGGCGTTCTTGACACCTCTCTGATCTCCTTAGTCCAGTTAATCACCAAGGCCTGTCAACATGCCCCAAGGTCCCTGGCTTGCACAATAGTCAACATCTCTTCACCATCTACGTATTTCCGTCATAGCACAGTTCACTTGGACAACCACAAGAACCTGCTGATCCTCTTGACTCCTACAATCCATTCGCCTCACAGTGGCCAGAAGGATCTCCATAAAGTACGAATCTAATCCTGAACTTTGCTTAAATTCATCATCAACTTCCCCCACTCTTAGGATAAAATCCAAAATACTTAGAGCATAACGAGAGAGGTGGTAGGGCCTAAAGATGAAGCTAGAAAGAGGCTGGGGACAAACTGTGAAGGGTCTTACACACCATGTGAAAGACTTGGGCTCCTGTGCTGTCCAATATGGCAGCCTCTAGCCACACGAGGCTTTTTAAATTTAATTAAATTAAAATTCAGTTCTTCAGTGTCACTAGCCACATCTGAAATGTTCAACAGTGGCTAGCACATTGGACGGCACAGGTGTAGACAATGAATTTAAATGGGAGAACCACATGGTCTGCTCTGTGTGAGTGTGGTTGTGGAGCACGCAGTGAGGGGGTAAGACAGATGAAGTCAAAGATGACCCAAAGAGTGTGGCTCTGATGCTGTGGACCATGCTTAGGGAAACAGATGGAGAAGCAGGTTTGAGGCAGAAAATAGTGTGATAAAAACGAGTTGAGTCTGACATGTTTTAATTTAAATGACTAGCAGTCACAAAACTCTAGGAGATAATTACAAATCCATGTTTGCAATTTCAGAGAAAGTTTAGGACTGGAGATAAAAGCTGGGGAATCATTAGCACCATGGGTGCAGCCAGACAATTCACTGGAAAGAATAAGAACACCATGGTCCACTGAGATGAGGTGAAGAAACACTGCAGTAACATGAGACTGTACACCTCCAGGCCACAAGGTGGCACACTTGTGGAGTGCTCAGAAAGATCGGCCCTTCTACAAGTGTCTGTACTCAGGATAGCCTTACCCCGGCTGCATGCAGAAAATGGTGAGCAATAAAGCTGGGCTTATTTCAGCCAATTTCACATCTTAACCCTAGATCCTTCCTCCCCACTTTTTTCCTCCTCTCTGAAGTTGGATTTTGAGATCTGAGGCCGGGAATCCCAGTGCGTAGAGCTGACAGGATGTAGAGTAGCTTGGGACCCACGCCTGCCTCTCCATTTCTTAGATCATGCCCCAGGCCAGAGTTTCCCAACTGGCTTCTATAACACGTCGAATATTTTTGTTTGATTTACTCCAATTTGAAAAAATAACAAATTTGTATGATACATTTTAGAGCGAAGCAAAAAAAGCCCAACCAAACACTGGCACAAGTGAAAACAGGCAGGTGTCAAGGCCCTAGAACTTTAACCTAAAACACTACAATTCTAGGTAATAAAAAGAAAACCATAATTTTATGTGACAGAAAGGAAAAATTAGGCTTATGATGATCTATGGCTCTAATAGGGTTCCTAGTAATTTTTAAGTGGTCATAATTTTCTTTTTTTTTTTTTTTTTTTTTTTTTTTTTTTTTAAAGATTTTATTTATTCAGTTTTTTCCCCCCAAAGCCCCAGTAGACAGTTGTACGTCATAGGTTCACATCCTTCTAGTTGCTGTACGTGGGACTCGGCCTCGCGTTGGATGGAGAAGTGGTGCCTCGGGGCGCTCCCGGGATCCGAACCCGGGCCGCCAGCATCAGAGCGCGCGCACTTAACCGCTAAGCCACGGAGCCGGCCCAGTGGTCATAATTTTCTTAGATAACATTTAAAAATTATTAGCTTATAAGCATTCTTATACCTTATACTTTTCTTTCATTAATGAAGCATATTATTCTTACATAAGTTTTCATCTTATTTAACTTATTTTAGTTTCAAGTATCTTCCTCATTTAATTTTTTTTTCTAATTCAAAAAAATGTTTCTTATACTTCTCAAGTTGGTATACAAACTTCAGCACAGAAGAACTTACCCGTAGTTACAGGGACTGTGGTGGTAACAGGTGGTGCTAGAGTTGTAGGCAATTTTTTGGGCCTAAATGTGTAGTGAGCAATAAATCCATCTGCAGTTAAACTTAAGTCTGACAAAAACTGAATGAGAAGTTCATTTCTCTCAGATACAATTGGCCTAAAAGAAAAAATTAAAAAAAATATATATATATATTTCAAGTTTAAGTGGTACCACTCTGAAATGTAGAATTTTCTTGCTTTCCATTAATATCTGACAATAGATGGCTATTTGTTTAAACTTAAAAGTTAAAACACTTGAGAAGGTGAAAGTTTAGAGAAGGTGGAAGTCTTAATCTGCTCGACAGTAATGCTAAAAGCTGACACTTCCTGAGCGTTTGCTCAGCTAGGCCCCGTGCTTCATGCAAACTGTCCAGTTCCATCTTCTCAACAACCCTATTATTATCACCCCCCCTTTTTTTTTGTGAGCAAGATTAGCCCTGAGCCAACATCTGTTGCCAACCCTCCTCTTTTTGCTGAGGAAGATTGACCCTGGGCTAACGCCATGCCCATCTTCCTCCACTTTATATGGGACGCCGCCACAGCATGGCTTGGTAGGCGGTGCGTTGGTCCGCACCTGGGATCTGAACCTGTGAACCCCAGGCTGCCAAAGCAGAGCGAGCAAACTTAACTGCTACGCCACTGGGCCGGCCGCTATCATCCTCCTTTTTTATTTTTTAATGAAGTTCAAGAGTTCAATGATTTACGCAAGGCCCTACAGCTAGTATGTGGGTGAGTCAGGATTTGAACCAGGGACCATGTGACTCTAGAGACTGTGGGAGACATTGGGACCGATGTAAACACTGAAGCTGTGGCTGGTTCTCCACAAGCACCTTAGCGTTTGGCCTGACTTGGGAGCAGTACAGCTTCTTTGAACTAAGGCTCTGGGTTCAAGCTGGCCTGGGGAGCTAGGGCTACTGGCCATGGAGAATGGGATGGACAAATTTGATGAACAAATTCCCACATCCTGTAAAGACACAGCTAAAGGGACCATCTCAGTGCACTGGTCACCCAGGGATAAGAAAGCCATGCAGCATTTAATGGGACTTCCATTTCATTGTTAATGGGAGTTCTTATGCATGCCTGAAATGGAGACATTTCTGTTTATAATCTCCACAGCAAAATGCTGGGAAGGAGAAAGAGAAGGTGATCACTTTGTTTTGGTGGTCATGAACCACATCATTAAGAACGCTAAAGCTATTTTAGGGCTTGCTAGTTAGTGGGTACTAAAGATTTAGTGGAGATAATGACAGAGGCTCAAAGGTCTCAAATCTTAGGCGATAACTACATTATACAAGATAGCAGTTTCATTTAAGCTTTTGCTATTGTTTAAACAATGGTAAAAAATGCTGTTTGGTTAATTCTATTTAAAAACCATTTAAATCAGAAGTAGAAAAAAATTAAACAAGTTATCTAATCAAGAATCGGTGATTTGACTAAACTCCTTTTTTGAGGCATCTTTTCAGCCAAACCACTTCTTAGGCATCATGCACAGCAAATAATGAGGCAATTCATTTTTTCTCCTCCTATCAGCTACTTTGAGTGGCAGTGGGTGGAGGGGAGGGTAGATCTGTACTTAACCAGCTGGAAACACTGCAGGATCTTTACTGTCCTGAAGACTATTATTCTCTGAGCCAAGGGATGGGTCAAACCTAAGAGTGAGTTTCATGACCTACATTTATAGTTCTGATCACAAAAGTGACCAAGGTCATTTAAATAATGCTTCTGAGAATCAAGCCTTTCACAAATATTCTATCTTGCTTTTGAAAGACACCTTCCATTAAACAAACACGAACAGTATGCGCTAAACACAATTCTCACCTGCAATTACAAATAAAACATGTTAACCTTGTTTAAACGATAAAATTATAAAAAGCACTCATAAGTAGCAAAGGAAGCCTTAAGACCCAACCCCGTCAGCCTTCTAGGCAGGATATTATAATTATAGTGATCATTCACTGCCTCTTCTATGAACTAATCTTGGAGACATTATCTTGGAAATTAAATTTTCTCAAGGAAGAGTATTTTAGTAACAAAGACAGATTTTTGTTACGCTGCTACTGAGCTTTGGCATGAATGTGGCAGTGCCATGAATGCACTGAGGGCCACGTGTTGCTTCTGCAAATTAACGTTACACATCACTAGAAAGGCAAGAGGAAATCTCACCTGGATCCACCCTGCACTGGCAAATCTCAGGAATGGGTCGAGGCTGCTGTTTCATGTCTTATGTTAGCTGTCTCTGCTTTGTCATCCCAAAGTCTTCCTCTTCTTCAATCACTACAGTCAATCAACCACCATGTCCTGCCAATTTTGCCTCCTAAATATTTCTTGATCCACATCCTCCTCTTCATCTCTACCACCCTTCCTACCTTCTTGACTTTACCTGGACCACTGCCACAGCCCCCAAACCAGCCTCCCTGCTCATCTTGTCTAGGATGGGGGTTCTAGAGGCACTGGTCCTGTCACTTCCCTGCCTAAACGCACCTGGAGGGCTCCCATCTCTGCAGGACATGGAACCCAACTCAACCCTCCAGCCTCATCTCTCTCTCTAGGCCCCAACGTGAGGTTTAGGCTCCAGAATAGCATCTATCTCCCCTGTGTATCTTTATCAACGGAGTTCTCTCTGCTTGGAATGAGTCTGTCCTCCCTTCTGCCTCTGACTAACTCCAACTCTTCTTTCAAGACTCAGCTTCAAGAGGCACAGTCTTCTCCAAAACACCTCCCCTGACCTCCCTAACAGTTGTCCCAACTGGGCCAAAGACCTCCTTGTCAGAAATCCACCAGGGACAGCCCTTTGGCAATTTACCTATCTGCCTTATCTCCCCCTCCATCCCACTACTAATCTCTGTATTTTTATTTATCTTTGTATTCCAGGTACCTAACATAGTGCCCAGGATATGCTGGGGTAGATTAAATGTTTTTGAACTGAATTCAGTGGCATTGATTCTGCATTGAGCTAGACACAGGGATGATGAGGTGATGTCCCACCAACCCCGACACTCCTTCTATTCATTCTGTTAACAGGGGAAAAGCTCCCCAAACAGGTTTTCCCATTTTCTGCACTGCCCCACCCAGAAGTACCTTGACTGTGGAAAAATATTTGTCTGGTAAAAGTATTAGTTGGTGGGCGGGCAGCAAAGCTACTCCAGGCAAACTCCTCAGAAGTGAGTGGTGCTCCACAGGCCCCTCCATCGCCTCCCTATCCCCCATCTTCATGGAGGCAACCACGACCCTGAATTTTGTGCTTATCCTTTCTTTCATCTATAGATTTACAAATATATAAGCATCACTAAACAATATATTGTATAGGTTTGCATGCTTTTAAACTTCATATAACTGAAAGGGTATGGTGTGTATTTTTCTATTTTTTTCACCCTCAATATTATAACTGTGAGATTCATCCACTGTTTTCACTGTATAGTGTATACTACAACACAATTTAATATTCTCTTGTTGATAAACATTGGGCTGTTTACTCTTTTCCCCCTCATTACAAACGAAATTGCTGAGAACATTCTTGTATATGTCTTGTGGTGCACATGGGCAAAAGTGTCTTTAGTGGGCTCACCAGGAGGGTAGGGTGTATGCTCTGTGCTAGATCATGGGATGCGTGCTGATTTTCAACTTTTTTAGATAACACCAAACTGATTTCCAAAGTGGCTGTACCAATTTACACTCTTTTCCAAGATTTATTCACTGTGCAGCTTTCTTCTTTGGGCAATGCCTTTTCATGTCTTTATCCATTTTTTTCTATTGAGTTGTTGTTTTTTCCTTATTAATTTTTAGGATTTCTTGATGTATTCTGGAACCTAGGTCTTTGTCAAATATGTGTTACAAATATCTGTTTCCGTTTTGTGCCTTCTCTTTTCCCTTCTCTTTAAGGCATATTTTGATGAGCAGGAATTCTCATTTAAGTCTCTCATTTAAGTTCCCAATCCATCTGTAGTTGATTTCTAATATCATCATGTGATATTAGCCATGAATAAAATTTCATTTTCCCCCATGAATAAAAATCGTCCTGCCTCATTTTTCAGTAGGGCCATCCTTTACCTGCTGACCTGCAGTTGTCTGTGATGTGCCCAATGTGCAGATATACTGGCCTCTCTTTGCTGTTTTCATTAGTCAATTTGTCTGTCTCCCTGTTAAAGCTACACTGTCTTAATTACAACGGCTTTGTGATATGGCTCCATCATGTAAGGCAAATCCTCCTGATAGGTTCTTCTCCTTCAGAATGGTCTTAGTTTTGCTCCACGCTTGCAATTCCAAGCACAATTTAGAATCAGACTGTCAGGATAATGGAAAACCAATTGCAATATTTTAAAGTGATACTGATTCTTCCCTTTCATGAGAATAGTATACAGCTCCATTGATTTAGGTCATTTAAAATATCTTTTAGTAAGGTTTTATAATTTTCTCTATTGAGGACTTGCACATGATTTGTTAGATTTATTCTTGAGTATTTTATAATTTTTGTTGCTTTTAAAATAATCTTTTTTGAACTATAAACTTTTTTATTCAAGCTATTTAAGAAAAGATATTCTTGAATAAATTGATGTTTCCAACAAATAAAAACATGAATCTACAAGTCACACTTTAATCTGGTAGTGTATAAAATTAAATTACAGTAGTCTCCCTTATCCATGGTTTTGCTTTCCATGGTTTCAGTTATCTGCAGCCAACCTCGGTCCAAAAGTATGAAATGGAAAATTCCAGAAATAAACAATTCATATGTTTAAAATTGCTTGCTGTTCTGAGTAGTGTGATGAAATCTTGTGCTGTCCTGCTCTGTCCTGCCTGGGACATGAACTATCCCTTGTCTAGTGTGTCCCTGCTGTATACGCTACCAGCCCGTTAGTCATTTAGTAGCCGTCTTGGTTATCAGATCAACTGTCTGGTATCGCAGTATATACCATGTGTTCAAGTCACCCTTATTTTACTTAATGATGCCCCAAAGCACAAGAGTTGTGATGTTGGCAATTCAGATACGCCCAAGAGAAGCGGTAAAGTGCTTCCTTTAAGGGAAAAGGTGAAAGTTCTCAACGTAATAAGGAAAGAAATATAACTGTATGCTGAGGTTGCTAAGATCTACAGTAACTTTTATTACAGTATTTGGTTACAATGGTTCTATTTTATTATTAGTTGTTGTTAATCTCTTACTGTGCCTAATTTATAAATTAAACTTTATCATAGATATATATATAGGGAAAAACATAGTACATACAGGGTTCAGTACTATCCACGGTTTCAGGCGCCCGCTGGAGGTCTTGGAACGTATCCCCCGTGGATAAGCGGGGACTACTGTAATAGGTTTTCTAAATTCAAACCAACCTTGAACTCCTGGTCATATAGAATATTTTAATACATTATTAGATTTGGGTTGCTAATATTTTTTCTTTTAGGATTTAGTGTTCATCACATTCATAAGTGAGATTAGTCTGTAATATTCTTTTCTTGTACTGTCCTTACCTCGTTTTGGTGTCAGTTTATACTAGCCTTATAAAATTAGTTGTGGAACAATTCCTATTTTTCTCTGGAAGAATCTGTGTAGTGTTGGAATTATCTGTTCCTCAAATATTTGTTACAACTCTTGGAGAAAAATGACCTGGGCCTGTTTTTTTTTCTCTCTTGACAGGAAGACTTTTAACTAATGATCCACTTTAACCATTATTTGGCAATTCTGGCTTCCTCTTTTTCCTGTGTCCATTTTTGCTTGAAAAAAAAATATATTTTTCTCCAGTTGTTGAATGCAGTGTTCTCTATTTATCCATTATACCGAGGCTGCTAACTGTTTTTCAAATCTTCTACATCTCAATTTTCCATCTTTCTGGTATTGATAGTTAATCTGCCAATTATTGAAAGAGATGTGTTAAAAATCTCCTACCATAACAGTGGACTTTGTAGATCTTTTATTTTTTATTTATTTTTTGCTTTATATATTTTTGATGTACACACAAGTTTACAATTATTATACCTTCCTGATAAATTGCACCTTTTATCAAAGCGCCTTTACAGATGTGTTAAGTGAAGGATCTTGAGAAGCGGAGAGTATCTTGCATTATTGGGTGGGCCCTAAATGTAGCCAAAACTGTGCTTAGAAGAGGGAACTCTGACCACAGGGGAGGAGAAGGCAATATGACAGAAGCAGATTGGAGTAATGTGCCTCAAAGATGGAGGGAGGGAGCCACAGCCAAGGAGTGCAAGCAGCCTCTAGAAGTTGAAAAAAGGCAAAGAAACTGCTTCTCCTCTCAGAGCTCCCAGAAGGGAACAGCCCTGCTGACACCCTGACTTTGGCCCATTGAAACTGATTTCAGACTTTTGACCTCTAGAACTATAAGAGAGTAAATGTGTTGTTTTAAGTCACTCAGTTTGTGGTAATTTGTTACATCAGCAATAGGAAAAAAATACAGAGGGACATCTTCTCTAGGAGCTTAGAAACGGGCCTTTCTCCATTACATTCATCTCTAAAGCCAAATTTGGGCACAAGAATGTTTAAATTATAACTAACTTGTATGTATTAAAAGATTCTTAATATTATCAAACTTAAGAAATATAAATGAATTGAAACTGAAAAATACCTTGCTTTTACTTAAATGTGTCTATGGGAAATCATAGAAATGCACGTAAAATCAAGAGATGCATATAATCTAATTATGTTTGAGCCACAAAGTAGAAAAGGGTAAATTGGCATAATGGCGACTTTGATGGCAAATGTAGTAATTTAAATCGCCACTCTTCCTGGCATTGTATGTGATGGTGTGAAATATCTTGCACCAAATGCAGTCACGTGTTGCACCAAAATACAGCATAGAGGAGTTAAGTAACTTGCCCAATGTCGCACAGCTAGTAAGTGGCAGAGCTCTTAGCTCCATAAATGTTGCTAAATAAGCACACGATGTCTTTAAGGCTCACCCGGCAAAAATCTGAGCAACAAAGTGAGAAGGAGGCACAAAGTCCCGAAGGTCCAGGACAGATCTCTGATCAGGTCAAATCATCTGGGTCTCTCACAAGCTTCCAGGTCTCCCTGTCTGGAGCCCCCATATTCAGCCCCCTAGTTTTTTCTCAGAATTTTCCCCCTTCCACTCTGATTCTTGAGCTCACCTTTGCAGGGCAGTGATGCATCCAGGGATCGGGCTCAGCATCTGCCCCTGGGGCATTACCAACTGCTTGTTTATCTATCTGGCCCCTGAGGCCTCTCTACACTCTGGTTAATGTCGACTCACTTTCTGGCTGGGCTGCTCTTTGTGTCGGTGCTGTGCCGGACTCCACTACTACCAAACCCAAGAATTTGTGAACAAAACAACAACAGCATAAAATCTTCCAGAAGATGAAATATAATCAGGCAATTTAATAAGAAACAAGTTCAGAGCTACTAAAATATTAATGAAATGAAACAGGTGCTACTTACGCAGGTGGACTGTCGCCACAATACTTTCCGATTCTCTTAGTGTCGTCGGCTTCCCCACCATTAAACACAGCCACGTAGTCATAGCGGCAGTAGTTGTCACGCTCAACATCAAACTTCTCAAACATTAATTCTATAAGCTTTAGTGAAAGCACAACAACAGAAGGGTCAAAGCAGCATTGCTGAATAACCTCAAACAGAATTCTTGCTCTCCCTATGTTTGTAGGGGACCATGATTTTCCTTTGTAAAAAATGTATTCATTCTGTTTAAATTATTATTTTCTTGTTGTTTTCATATTTCTTTTTTAGTTAACAAAATTGTGGTATTCTTTTGTTTTCATTTTTTTATTTTGCTGAGGAAGATTGACCTTGAGCTAACATCTGTGCCAATGTTCCTCTATTTTGTACGTGGGATGCCGCCACAGTATGGCCGCCGACGAGTGGTGTAGGTCCACACCTGGGAACCGAACCCGGGCTGCCAAAGCGGAGTGTGCAAACCTTAACCATTAGGCCAGGGGGCTAGCCCCTTGCTTTAATTTTTAATCATTCTAAAAGATCATCTCAACCCTAGATCAACCCTAGTTGAGGAGCTCTGTTCACTTACAGCTATGAAAGTATGAGAACTAAATAATCCTAGCAACCTACATTAAGACTGAAATTGGGGGGCCAGCCCGGTGGTGCAAGCGGTTAAGTTCACGTCCTCTGCTGCTGCGGCCCAGGGTTCACCAGTTCAGATCCTAGGCATGCACCGACACACCGGTGGCTTGTCAGGTCATGCTGTGGTGGCGTCCCATATAAAGTGGAGGAAGATGGGCACGGATGTTAGCCCAGGGCCAGTCTTCCTCAGCAAAAAGAGGAGAATTGGCAGATGTTAGCTCAGGGTGGATCTTCCTCACAAAAAAAAAAAAGACTGAAACTGGGTATGTGTTGGAGTGGGAAGGGGGGCTATATACCAACTTCATTCTTCCCTAGAAGAAAACTAATAGAAATAAAAAATATTACTTAAGATGTTCCCTATACTAGTGTGTGTTGGGGTGTGGTGTACATGTAAATGTTTGGGTGGGTGAGATGGGTGGACAGAATTGTTCTGCTTTCAAGGGAAGGAGACTGACATTCCCATCACATATAAAGAAGCCAAACTCTTTAGGACCAGATGTTCAGGGAAGTGGGAATTGACTATGATGTCTTCTCAAAGTATGTTTTAAAAATGTGCCTTGAAGTATGTTTTAAAAATTTGACGTAATAGGCAATCATTCTCCTCACAAGCAGATTTTTCAAGAGTACCTCCAGTGTGTGAATCAGGAAATCTCACTGGGTTCATAAATACCCATGGCACCCAGACAGTTGGTCCCCACTCTTGCTGGGTGGCAGGTGGGCAGGCAACCCTCCCTGTGCTTACAGAAGGTAATGGGCGCTAATTCCTGTTAGGACAGGCACGTGGTTGTTAGCTAAAGAAGACTCAGACACAGTAATCTGAGTGAAGATGATGACAGCAACAGCATCCCAGAGACACAAAGGTAAACTTTTGCCTTGAACACAATTGCCACATATCTACATATTCACCCACCTTATAAAAAGTCACCAGTGATGGGTGAATAATGGCTATTCACACTTAACACTGCTTTAAATTATATTAAAATATTTCCTCTTCGGGTCCAGTAACTTCTCCCCAATTAGTAATAAAATGCTTTCCAAGTTATTAAAAAATTGGCTCAACTTTCTCTACTTAGAAATTGGTCACAAAACAACTTTTGGAGAGAAGATAAAAAATAAGTAAATAAATATGAGGACAAAGGGGAAGCTAGCTACGATAAAAAATGGAGGTAAGTGTTTAATAGAAGAAAATGCCCACAGACTGGTACAGACATTATTTAGGACTTAATTCTCCCATTATATTTCTCTCCCTTGGATGGAGCTTCCAGGGATTTCAGACATTACTACAATGATTAAAAACTCCATCAGCTAAAGGCAAAAATCACATTGATAAGATAAAACCCAAATTTAAATTTAAATAATCAAAAAGAACAATGAAAAAAAGATGCTAAATTGTAACCTGTGAGTATAATTAAGTTGAAATTATTTAGTCTAATATATTCACAAATGACATAGAGAGAAAAATGACCAATACGATCTTAAGAATTACATGATGGCTTAAATGTTTGAGAAATGTAATTTTTTAAATGTCATTTTAAACTATAAAATGTTCAACAGATTTATAGAATCTTTCATTATTAAATAAATGACCATATTTTTCTTCTTAAAAATAAAAGTGTGTTTTGGGATTATGATCAAAGTGTGTGTGTGTGTATGTGTGTGTTCAAATGGCTAACTTACTTGCAAGGTATATTTGCCTGAATAATTTTCCACTAAAAAATTAATATATGGCAAATAGTATTTGTGTCATACAAAAGATCAGTTTAGAAAATTTTTTTTTATTGGTGTCTTAATAGTTTATAACATTGTGAAATTTTGGTTGTACATTTTTGTTTGTCAATCACCATCTACATGTCTCCCTTCACCCCTTGTGCCCACCCCCCACCCCCTTTGCCCCTGGTAACCACAATACAGTTCTCTCTGACCATGTGTTGGTTTATATTCCACATATGAGTGAAATCATGTGGTGTTTGTCTTTCTCTTTCTGGCTCATTTCACTTAACCTAATACCCTCCAGGTCCATCCATGTTGTTGCAAATGGGACAATTTTGTCTTTTTTTTTGGCTGAGTAGTATTCCATTGTATATATATACCACATTTAGAAAAAAATTTTTTAAACAATATCATAATGCTCACCGTATAGTATTTGAATTAAAGTCTATAGTGTTTGTAATAATAATAATTTTTTAAAAGTTATTTGCAGAAGTCCATAAAGTAGGCTTGGTCTAATCTCATGCTAAGTTCTGTCCTGCAATTAATATCTGAAAGTGGTTCCCAGAAAGGGTAAACATTCATATAACCACAAACTAATAAACACTGGAACATTAGACTTTCTCTGTTGATTGTTTTAGGTCAATGAATAAAGTTATTTGTGGGGAACTTGCACACATTTTATTTTAAACAACAACCAAAAAACCCGCAAAGCAGACTAGCTTTCACATCAGATGCCCATTCGTTGTTCTTTGCTGAGACGACGTGGCACGCTCGCGCGGCTTTGTCAAAGGGGAGCGTTCAGCCTGTTTTTGACTTGGTGACCAGGATGGCTATTATCAGGACATAAGGGGTTTGCTGTGTGAGCAAATGGTAACCTGAAATGTACCCATGAGGGTTTTTTATTCTCCCACAGTTAGCCACTGCTGCTTATAACCACATGCTCATAACGTCTTCCACAGGGTTAAAGAATCTCAAGTGGGATTTGCTTACCATTTGTATTTCAAAACCTGTTTTGAAAACTGTAATTATATAATAGGACATTAAGTCCATGACTTTGCAAATCAAATAGTGCAAAGGCAATTTTAATCTGGGTCTTTGTATGAAGAAATACATGTGTCCAGCAGGGCCTTCCCTGCCCTGCATCCTTAGCTCTTGAGAGTCGGGCCTCTCACATTGTCCGGGCAATTCATACACGCATGCTTTCTTCATATTTTCAGGGAATCTCACCTGATTCTTTGGGGCTACAATGTGCCACACACAGGTGACTCCTGCAGGGTAATCGCGGTCTGGCCAGTTGGGGGTTGTAAAAGAGCCGGACGGTCTTTCAAGCAGTCCTCCACAATACTGATCCCCTACAGTTATTAAAAATGAAAAAAAATCCAAGTTCATATCCTGATATAGGCTATGGCAATGCAATCAAGTGGAAATTAGGAATGTGGACTATAAAGTGACAGTATAGTAAATAAAAGCAATGGGAGAAGCTCTTAAATTTTCTCTTAAGAAAATGATTATAGTCTCCTCTCCACACACACACACACACACACACACACACACACACACACTCTGAATGATCTCTATGTCACCTGACATATCACATTAGCACAAGAGAGTGAAGGAGTGGAGTTAGGGCCAGACCTTTTTTCCTTCCATTTTTTTGGACAAGACAAAACATTTGGGAATGCACTAATTTAGAAATCATGCATGGGCCGGCTCCGTGGCTTAGCGGTTAAGTGAGCGCGCTCTGATGCTGGCGGCCCGGGTTCGGATCCCGGGCAAGCCCCAAGGCGCCACTTCTCCGTCCAACGCGAGGCCGAGTCCCACGTGCAGCAACTAGAAGGATGTGAACCTATGACATACAACTATCTACTGGGGCTTTGGGGGGAAAAATGAATAAATAAAATCTTAAAAAAAAAAAAAAAAAAAAAAGAAATCATGCAGGCTCAACAAATTATATAGATTTTAAGACTTTCAAGGCAAGGTATTTATTAATAAGGTTAAAATCCATGCCCAAGGACAAAATTTGAATTAGTTGGTATAGACAACTCTCATTAGTAGAAAACTTTATACACTATGTATCTTTAGTAATTTTTAAGAATAATTTTGTTTGTAAAAACAATACATGTTTATAAATTTTCTGCAATACAGAAAAGCATTAAAAAAGATGGGAGTGATTTCTAGATTGGGCTATACTGGGGAAGATCTCTCTTGGTCTGAGAAAAGTGACTGCTCCAGAAAAGAAGTCTCCTGACTAAGAGGCACAGGTGTCGTAGGGTGGCCGCTCCGTTCCTCTCAGCTAATTATGACCCTGGACTTGGGCTGGACATTGGCAGTTCTGCTCTGAGTGAAGTCAGAACAGAACCAAAACGACTCTCTCCCAGGCACCTCAGGAAAGGATGCCGCTGTTGCCAGGACCTGCTGGAGGCGCCCTCACACCAGACTGCTCAGAGCCCTCAGGGTTATGACAGATGGCCCAGACGCTGTGCTTCTTCAGCCAGCATCCCTCTGCTGCCCTCTGTCCAAAGCTTGTGGCCCCTCTCTCATCTGCACACTGAGATGACCTTGTGTAGGTGATGAGACCATCCCCCTTATCTTTCCTCTACTTTCCCACCCCAGACCCATACCTTACACAGAGGTCAGATTCAGCAGTGCTGGAGAGCTCTCCCTTTATGCACAAATCTCATTCTTTCACTAGGAGCTTCTAGAAGTTTCCCCAGAACTAAACTCAGCAGCACTTCTGACTGTTAGGACATTAAGATGGAGGTTTTAGTTTCACACTTAGTTTTCAAGAGGGTATTCTGTAATGTCAGATTCCTGCCCTGTACCAATATTAGCCTCTCTTCTCTGTGACTGAACTGGATTTCTTGGACTGCCTAGACTCCTAATAAAGCTATTTCTTCCTTGGTGAAAAATAAATTAAAATTAAATTTGGGGTAAAATCACCCCAGATCCCACCACCTAAAACTAATCACAATTAATGTTTGACAAACATCATTTCAGACACCTCTATGCATATGTACTAACAGGTTGACAGAAATGGTTTTAGAAAGATATTTTAATACAAATTCTAAATTGAATTTTACTTGATTTTATTTTATTTTTTAATAATTTTATTTATTTATTTTTCCCCCCAAAGCCCCAGTAGATAGTTGTATGTCATAGCTGCACATCCTTCTAGCTGCCATATGTGGGACGCAGCCTCAGCGTGGCCAGAGAAGCGGTGCGTCGGTGCGCACCCGGGATCCGAACCCAGGCCGCCAGCGGCGGAGCGCGCGCACTTAACCGCTAAGCCACGGGGCCGGCCCTACTTGATTTTAACTAACAAAGAAAAACTGAATTGAAACTAAAGGAATTAATATACTTTAATGAAATATTTCTTTGACACAGAAGATAATCATTCTTAAAAGAAATCTCTAAATTTAAGAAAACATATTATAAAAATTGAGGTTGGAATAATCTCTAAAACTTTATTTATAGAAAACTTCAAGCATATACAAAGTAGATAGAAAAATATAGCAAACTTCTATGCATCCATCACCCAGTTTCAAAAATTATCATCATTCTACTATTCTTCTTATCAATACCACTATCCAACTCCCACCACCTGCATCATCATCATTATTATTATTTTATAGGTTTTGGGAGATAAATTCATATACTTTGAAATGCATAAATCTTAGCTGTAAAAATTTGAAAAATGGATATAGCCATGCAAGCCACACTCCTATGATGATATAGAATCCATTTCCCACAAAATTTCTATATCCCTTGCCAATCAATCTGCTGACTCTCCACACCACTTTTCTGAAAAATTCCACCTTCGTTTTATTCTAGGGCTTCATATAGATGGAATCTTATAGTGTGTACTCCTCTGTGTCTGACTTCTCTTGCTTAGTGTAAAGTCTGAGATTCATTCACGTTGCTGTGTGTAGTGGTACTTTGTTGCTTTACATTGCTGAGTAGTATTCCAGTGTGTGGAAACACCACCACTTGCTCATCCCCTCTCCCACTGATATCATTTGGGTTGTTTCCAGTTTGGGCTATTGTGAACAAAGCCACTAGGAACATTTCGTACAAATCTCTCTGTGGACATGTATTTTCATTGCTCTTGCACAAATACCCAGGAACGCAGTTACTGGGCCAAGAGTAGAGTAGATGTTTAACTTCATAAAAACTCTCAAAATTTCCCCTCAAGTGGCTGTAGCATTTTATACCTCTCAAAGGATGAGCACTTTGGTGGCATCACGTCCTTGTCACCATTTAGTGTTGTTAGTTTTTTGAGCCAACCTGGTGGGTGTGTAATGGTATCTCATTGTGGTTTTAATTTGCATTTCCCTGTTAACTAATGATACTGAGCAGTTTTCCATGTACTTATTAGTCATTCAAATATCTTCCTTTGTGAAGTATCTGTTCAAGTGTTTGCCCATTTTTATATTTATTGGGATCGTTATCTTTTTATTGTTCAGTTCTATGAGTTCTTTGTATATTCTGAATACAAGTCTTTTATCAGATATTTTTTGCAAATATTTTTCTCCCGTTTTGTGGGTTACCTATTCATCTTTGTAACAACATCTTCTTATAAGCATTAGTTTTAATTTTAACGAAGTTTGCATGGTACATATTTCTCCATCCTTTTATATTCTACCTATTTTGCCTTTATATTTTAAGTGCTTTCTTGTAGACAACATATAGTTTGGCTCCGCTTTTTAACCCATTCTAATAATTACTGTCTCCTAATTGGAGTATTTAATCCTTTACATTTAATGTATTTATTGATATGCTTGGATTTAGAGTGCCGATTACTCTTTTGTTCTGTTTGTCTCACCTTTCTTTTGTTCCATCTGTTCTTCCTTTCCTGCCTTCTTTGGGTTAGTTGAATAATTTTAGTTTTCTATTTTAATCTTTTGGCTTTTAGCTATAACTCTTGCATTTTCAATGGGTTCTCTACGGATAACAATATGCATCTTTAAGTTACCACAATCTATGTAGAGATAATATTGCATTTATTCACGTGTTGTACATGTGTGTGTGTATAGGCAACAGTATAGTTCCATTTGCCTCTCCATCCTTTGTTCTATTATTGTCATATGTGTCACACATATATTACGCATTCCAAATACAGCGTTAACATTGCTTTGTTTCGTCTTGAACAGTCACATGTAAAAAAACTAAGAGAAGAAAAGAAAATAATATATAGTCTTGTATATTTACCATTTCCAGTGGCCTCCAATCCTTCCATTACCTTTGTGTTACCCTGTGGGGCCATTTCCCTTCAACTTGAGAAACTTCCTTCAATATTTCTTGTGATGCAGGTATTTATCTGAAAATGTCTTTATTTCACTCTCATTTTTAAAGACTACCTATAGAACTTCGGGTTGACAGTTTTATTCCACCACTTTAAAAATGCTATTCCACTGCCCTCTGGCCTCCGTTGTTTCTGATTAAAAGAAAGCCATCATTCGTACCATCGTTCCCCTGTATGTAATTTGGTTTTTATCTGATTGACTTTAACATTTTGTCTTTATCTTTAGATTTCTGTAATTTAATTATGATGTGCCTAGGTGTGGTTTCCTTGTTATTTATCTTGTTTGGGGTTTGTTGACCCTCTTGGCTCTAAAGATTTTATTTATTTATTTTTTTCCCCCCAAAGCCCCAGTAGATAGTTGTATGTCATAGCTGCACATCCTTCTAGTTGCTGTATGTGGGACGCGGCCTCAGCATGGCCGGAGAAGCGGTGCGTCGGTGCATGCCTGGGATCCGAACCCGGGCCGCCAGCAGCGGAGCGCGCGCACTTAAGCGCTAAGCCACGGGGCCGGCCCCTCTTGGCTCTATAAATTGATGTTCTTCACTAAATTTGGGGAGTTTCAAGCCATTATTTCTTCAGATACTTTTTCTGCACTATTATCACTCTCTTCTTCTGGGATACAAATTGCACTCATGTTAGACCACTTGATATTATCTCACTGTCTCTGAGGCTCCTTTCTTTAACCTTTTCCTCCTGGTCTTCATATTGGATCATTTCTATTCAAATACACCACGCGTTTCTTCTACCATCTCCAATCTGCTTGTGAGCCCATCAGGTAAATTTTAAAACTTCAGATTCTCTATCTTCTCATTCTAGAATTAATATTTTATTCTTTTTTTTTAATAGTTTCTGTTCCTTTTCTGAGAGTCTCAATCTATTTATTTATTACACATATATTTCCCTTTAAGTCCTTAAACATATTTATAATAGCTGCTTTAAGATGCTTGTCTGCTAATTGCCGTATCTGAGTTATCTTGGGGTCAGTTTTTATTGACTGCTTTTTTTCTTGAATATGGACACACTTTTCTGGTTTCATCACATGACTGGATACTGGACATTATGAATGATACATTACAGAGACTCTAGATTCTGTTGTGTTTCTATGAAAAATGATTTTTGTTCTAACAGGCATTTAACTTGGCTAGATTCAAGCTCAAACTCTATCTCCCTGGCAGTGGGTAGCAGCTGTAATCTCTGTTCAGTTCTTTCATCTTCCAGCTGATGCTTTTATACCAGGCCAAGTGGGCTCTCCTCCACATATGTAGAGTTGCTGTCAGCCAAAGATTTGGGTGGATTTTATATGTATATTTTGTACCTCAATTACTCTGTAGCTCCCAGCCAGGATTTCCTCCCAAATATTCTGGCTGCTCTGACAGTCCCAGATTCTGTCCTCTGACATCTCAAACCAGTAATGCTGCACTGCAGCCCAAGGCAAGAGCAGATTAGGCAGTGCTCTCAGGCAAAAGGCTGCAAACTTAACAGATCTTGCCCACTGCAGTTATCCTCCGAGGGTACAGGTTTCTACTCTTGGGAGCTCACATGTACTGATATGAAAATATCTCAACACATAGTGTTAAGTGAAAAGAAAAAGTTGTGAAACAATATGAATGTATGATCCCACATATATTTTTAAAAAGCTATTGCAAAAGTACCTACATATAAGTAAGTGTACATAGAAGGTATGGGAATCACCAGCCACGGCTCCTTCTGAGAGGGGACTACAATCGGGTGAAGGGGTGTGTTTCTACATCTGTATTGTATATATGTATGCAAGCTTCACATTTTTACTCCATGAATTTCTATATTTGAATTTTTATAATATATATTGGCTTAAAAAAAGACTAACTCTTTTAATGGTCTCTTGGTGGTATGGTGACATTTATTAGCTCTCTGTTTGAGAAGAACTGTTCTTAAACTCAGATTAAAGGAGTAAATACAGATCAAGTGCCTAGAACAGTGCCTGCACATAGTGGGCATTCAGTAACTGTGAGTCATCATTATTGCTGTTATTGCCGTTATGTGGGAACGATACCTCTTTCGTTTGGTTCAGCGGCAGAGAACGTGGCCATGAAGCCATTCCCAGCTGTGTTCGCATCAGAGATCATCTGCACCATCATCTTGTTACCACTGGACACAAGGGCTCCAGGCCGGAACGTGCCGCAGAAGCGCCCAATGCGCTGGCCATTGGCGTGGCCGTTGTACACATCCACAAAGTCATAGCGGCACAGGTTGTCACTCTCGAGGTCTATGAATCGGAAATTAAGAACTACCACTTTTCCCTCGGGAACCTGCCGAGAAAAGGGCCAGTAGGAAACTGTGTCATGAAAACAACTTCTGAGGCCTTCACATCTAGCCAGTTACCAAAATGAGCAGATACACGTATAATAATGCCCAAGATGATGCTTTCTTTTTTTTCTGAGGAAGATCGGCCCTGAGCTAACATCTGCCAATCTTCCTCTTTTTGCTGAGGAAGACTGGCCCTGGGCTAGCATCCATGCCCATCTTCCTCTACTTTATACGGGGCGCCGCCACAGCATGGCCTGACAAGCGGTGCGTTGGTGCGCATCCAGGATCCGAACCAGCGAACCCCGGGCCGCTGGATCCGAACCGGCGAACCCCGGGCTGCGGCAGCAGAGCGCGTGCACTTAACTGCTTGCGCCACCGGGCCAGCCCCAAGATGATGTTTTTTCTTCCCTCAAACCTGAACTAAGCCAGAGAAGGTTTTTTAACATAACGCATTCCTAATAAAATCCAAGTATTCATTCTCTTTTGACAAATCCCAAAATTCTCTAGGGCACACAATTTTATTCTTTAAGAGTCTATCTCAACAAAGTTGAAAATATTGGATTAGTCTTATTGATAAGTCATTGTTTACAAAGAATACCAGTCCTGATTGGACCTTAGCACAGATTTGCAAATTCTAAAACACCAGGGCACCCAGGGATATTGTTGGCAAAGAAACCTTTGAAATGTCATTTCTCACAAATAATACAATAGGACAATCTCAACATATAGAATGTTTCTATGAAGTTCAAACTGAAAGGATTATTTGGCAATTGTGCAGTTAATTACAGATAATTCACTTTGGGTCCTGAAAAATCCAGATCAATCATCTATACTGATTACATTAACTGAGTAATTGTTGAATTGTCTCTTCTCGAAGTCACTGAGTTTTCATTTCTTTGTTTTCCAGGTGAAAACCTTATATACCAGGCAGCCGTGACACATAATGCACTGATGAAAAAGATAAGTTTTCATTTTCTCATAAGACTTTCTTCACCATAATTTCCTCCATGTAATCCTTATGATGCTTCCCTCCTTATTCTCTGATTAGGTAGAAAAAAAATGGCTACCAAAGCATTTGGCAGGATTCTCACAAAAGCCCCATTTCTTTCCCAGTTCACACCATCTTTTAATTTCTTCATTCAAGTTGTTTAGTCAGAAAGTTTCGATCAGATTTGTGTCACCTTTTCAACTAGATGAGGTCCCCACTGAATAGCGTTAAGAATTTCATTCTATAAAAACTTACAGATGACAAAGGTCAATGATTTAAAAAAAAAAAAAACAACAAAACCACTGGTTGTTTTATACTCATCTTAATTAACTATCTCAGACTCAAGGGTCAAAAATGCTTTAACATAAATATGGCTTTCCCACGGTGCTGAGTTCAGTGCCATGAATGTTGTTTTTCCTATGATAACACGAAGTGTTTCAGTGCTATTTGCCTTTTGTGTCAAACACATACACACCTCATGGTATGTGGAGTAGTGGTATGTGGACACCGTAGTGGAGTAGTCACAAGAAGGGGGATATTTTGGCTTTGCCCTGGTTGCATTCTAACTGCTAGGAGCTTATCATAATGGTGTGAACATCAGAAGCTCCAAAGCCACAGCCTAAGAAGCTGATAGCACAAAACACAATTTCATTTTTAAACATTCTCACCGAGGTAGCTGTTGTAGAACTTCCTTGTTTTTTGTTTTGCTTTGTTGCATGCGATCTGTATCCCACCCATGGTCAGAAAATTATCAAAACGTGCTGCCACATCTGTAACCTTAAATATAAGCAAGCTCTCTATGAATCACTGAAAAATCCCCAGCCAGGAAAAACACTTTGAACTAAATTAATTTAATTTGGATTGTCCCTGCATGAATAATGACTATTTGTGTAAATGTATAGATAAACTGTATGGAGGGTAATTCAAAGCTGACACTCATCCACCACAGAGTGAGTATAGATGAAAAAGGGAAGGGGTCTAAGGATAGAACCGTGGGCACTCCAATGTCATCAGGTCTTCAAGATGAGGTCAAACCGCCACAAAGACTGAGTTAGTAAGCAGGAGGCAACCAGAGGGTGTGCCCAGAAGCCAAGTGAAGAGAGTGTGTCAAGGAGGAAAGACTGGTCAGCTGAGTGAAGTGCTGCTGCTGAGTCGAGGAAGATGAGGACTGAGAAATGACCACTGGGTTTAGCAACCAGAGGTCACTGGTGACGCTGCCAAAGCTGTTTTGGTGGAGCAGTAGGGACAAAGCCCGATAAGAGAAGGATCAGGAGAAAATGGTGTGAGAGGAACTAGTGGTAATGAATACAGACCATCTTTTCAAGGAGTTTTGCTGGAAAGATGAACAGTCATATGGAGATAGCTGGAAGGGGATGTGGGATCAAGACAGGGTTTTTAAATTGGGCTATACCAAAGCATGTTTGCATGTCATTGGGAATAACTCCACAGAGAGAGCAAAACTGATAAGTAGGAGAGAGGGAGAATTGCTGGAGGGTGTCACTGAGCAGGCAAGGGGAGATTTGCCCTAAGGCACAGATGGAAGGGGCAGCCTTAGATAGGAGCACGGACAGTTCTGCCCACTGAGAGGAGGGAAGGCAGAGGCAGGTAGGTTAGTAGATGAGATCGTGAAAGCATACGAAACTTCTCTTTCGATTGATTTTCAGTTCTTAGTGAAACAGGAAACAAGGTCGTCAGCATCAAGGGTGGATGTGAGAGGAGCTATTGGGAGTTTGAGAAGAGAGGAGAAGGTGTTTAAATGGATTAGGGAAGTATAGCAGGACTGTCAGGAGTGCTGAGGGCCCACTTGAAGTAAATGAATTAAAAGTGAGTCCTCTCTGCATGGTTGTGTTTTTTTTCCCCAGCTACATTCAGCTTCCTGGGTGGAGGTGCAGAGCAGGCAGAGAGTTGGATTAAGCAGTGAGGGGTGGGAGGCCAGGGGGACTGGGATGGTGTTTGCCAAGTGAGGACTATGGAGGGAGAGAGGGCCAAGAGAGTTGAGGAAGTAGGCAAGGGAACGACCGTATGATGGGCCATGGAATCCAAGCTGGGTAAGGAAAGAAATCAGGACTCAGTGGGGGTGAGCACAGTAACAACTCAGATTGTGGTGGAGGCAAGAATAATGACAACGGAAGTGGGTGGCTGAGGAACAATGGAGGATAAGCTCATTAGAGGAGAGAAGGGTAAAGACTCAAGAGCATCATCCACGTGGATACTGAAATTACTATGAATTATGACAAGGAAGAATGTTGAAGACAGTGACAGCGAGCCCGGAGCTAAAATTTACAAGAAACGAGGAGATGGTCCGGGGGTCTTTAGATGACTGCAACAAGGAGGGCATGGAGGGCACAATCTTGTCTCATCATAAGTTCTCAGTTCTTTGACGCTAAGAAGACTCTGTTGACTCCTTCCTGTAGTCAGGCTGTTGAGAGGGAATACAGGCCTTGGATGTCCACTCCCAATGGGATAAACCATTCTTTCTCAGAAGTTCTTTACTTGGTCCCATTGCAATGAAAACTTGAAGCTTCTCTGAGCACGAGACACAAATGTGTTCAGCAATAGAAACTGGCTTTATATCACTGCCATTTTGAACACATGTTGATCCCAACAACCCTGGCAAAAAAACCCTTTTGAAGGAAGGATGCAGAGGAGATCTGTATCAGTTGTGGGTCTACTGTAACCAGAGACACAGGCCATCTTGCACTGAAGGCCAAAGAGAAATTCTATTGCAAGTGAGACGCATACTGCAGCAAACCCCTTCACCACAACACAACAGTTCTTCATATTTATGGGTAATCAAGATTGTCTGATGCCCTGTGATGTGAACTTTGCTAAGAGTTCCTGAATTGTCCTTCTATAGGACATTAGAAAGCATAGTCTCTGAAGATGACCCTTCCACTTGAAGAAGCTACAATCTGCATCCTTGGATTTTTCTTTGTTAAGGATACAAAAAAAGATACAGAAAAATATACATACAGTAATATAACAAACACCTGGATACCAACCATGCAAAATCGATGATTGTTAACATTTTATCAACACAATTTTAAAGTCTCTTTTAATAAAATAAATAAAAATTTTCAGATAAAATGAGGCTTCCTTTGTTCCCATTCCAGGCCTCATTTCTCCCTCCTTTCTCAGACGCAACCACTGTCACAGATTTGTGGGTTTCCTTCTGTACCATTCCAAATACTTATACATATATCCAGGTAAAATACATAGTTATGTTTTTGTGGCTGTTTTAAAAATTAAAGAAAATGGAATAATGCTGTACACATCAATCTACAACCTGGGCATCCTTGAATTTTCTAGATAAGGAAGAAGAGAAAGGGGAGAAATAAAAATAAAAATAAAAACACACAGGGCCGTCACAACCTATTCCTTCTGCCTAGAACCCTTCCCCACTTCTGCCCTTCGCTCACCCAAGCTTAGGGTCTCAGTTTCAAGGTCACCTCTTCCTGGAGGCGCTCCAAGCCCCGCACTCCTCCTGCCAAGATGGGCTCTGCCCAGTTAGCAGCCCACCCCTCCAGTCTTTGAGCATGGGATGGCTCAACCCACTTACTGCCTCCCTGTCTGAAAGACAGCTCTAGGAGGCAAGGATTCCCCCCGCCTCGTTCACTGCTGCATCCCCAGCCTCTGGACAGTGTGTGGCTCCTAGCAGACGTGCATCATAAATATTTGTTAAATGAATGAATCCCTCAGGTGCTACATGGAACACCAGCTTCTTTGCACAAACCCTGGACAAGGCACCTACTGGGTGGCTCCACCTCCAGCTCTTGCATTCTAATAACTCCCAGCCCATCTGGCAGGAGAGCTCCACAAGGCTGCTCTCCTTTCTAAATCATTCATAACCAAAAAAAAAAAAAAAAAGAAAGACATGTATCTTTAGGAAACTTTATATTTCAAATCTCCTGTAAATACTAACACTTAATGCAGAAACTCAATTAAGATGCTCTTTTGGTAGCAAATTAGACAAAGCTATACTGTTTTGTGAGATGAAATTGACCAGGGGATTCA